GAAACCATCACCTGATAGCTCCCCTGGCGTCCCCAAGGCCTCCGATGCTTGGGACATCTGCACAGCTGTAGCAAGGAACGAGTGCAGCACCCTGCCGCGACGTTCACCGGCCCCGAAGCCCTCGCATGAATTTCTTGCATCTCGTCCCAAACTCCCCCGGGATGATGGGCTTTGCGACGCGTGGCGTTTCGCTGGTGGTGATTCACGTCCACTCACACTTCTGCAAGCCTCTCCGATAGCCGCAGGAGTGTCGCAAGGAAATGTGTTCGCGACGGTGGCTACACCGCCAGGCGCGCCGCTGACCGACAGATGGGAATTGCCCGACGGCTCGCTACCGGAAGAGGTCGCTGTCCGTTCTCGAGGAGGGTTTTGCTGCAAGAAGTTGGAACTCTCTCCAGTGTTCGCGCATGGGGCTGCGGGCAAGGGGTGCGACAACGGCTTGTGCTGGCGACCAGCCGCACCATCCACGCAGTCATCCGCGCCTGCATCATGATCAGCATCATGATGCGCGCCGCCAGCAGAGCCCGTGCTCGGCAGCATGCCGCTCACCTCCTTGCATCAACGACTGACCGCTGCTGTGGTGGCCAACGGTGGAAGCCACGCTATGCAATGCCTCCCTCTAGAGGCTACGTGTCGATAAGGTAGCACGGCCGCCCTGTCCGTCCTTCACAGCACGCGCACCTCGTGCGCGGCGTGCGGAGAAATGTAGCTAGCTACAGCGCCGGGGTTTCCCCACCCCAGGAGAGCTTTGTGAATAGAACCAAAAAGAGGTTCACCGAGGGAGCGCGCGCACGCGCATCTCCAACCAATGAGGAGACAGTAAATTTAGAAGTAAAGATCCCTTCGCACGGATGGTAAAATGTACTGGATATCTTGCCGGTTCTGGTTCGCACTGCTGATGCTCTGGATATGACCACCTTCTTCTTACTACATGCATACAACAACCCAGCTCCCTATCTAATAGATCCTGTTTCATCCATACATACATGGCGTATCTCTTCGAAACCACGACACTTTCCGAACATGACTTTCGCTCCATGCTTCATTTGCGCGGCGGACTACCCGTTGAGCACCGCGTCACGGCGTGGAAGTTCTTGCTACGTCTCCCGGGTAACTCGAAGCAGTTCGCTCAGCTCGTATCCAGAGGACCGCACCCGACGGCGTTGGCTAGCCTCTCGATCCGCTACCCCTTGCGCGACCGAAAACTCTTTCGGAAAGCGGCCGTGCTTTTGTCTGCATTAGCTCATTGGTCACCGATCTTGGCGGAGGTTGAGTTCGTGCCGAGTTGGCTGTTTCCCTTCTGCGTGGTTTTTGGTCAGGTGAGCCAGAAGATCTCGCTCGAACACGTTTGAATTGAAGAAGTGTCAAGGCGGCACGGAATATTAGCCAGGAGTGTTGTGTAGGTTACAGTCATTTAACCGCTAGAAACTCCGTCTGTCTGTACAATTACGTCCTGCTGCAGCCGTCCGTCAATCTGGCAGACTGCACCTCGTACGGAAGGTCACCCTTTTGCTGAACGGTCGCCTAAAAGTTCCCAAACGCGGGCACACCCTTCTCGGTTCACGTCCGCCCCCAAGTGCTTGACATGATGAAGTACACGACCAGTGCCTGGCTTGAAAACAGGATGTTTGATGATGGACGGCGGACGTGTTGGTCGCCTGTACTGTAGATTGACGGCGAGGCTACTTGCTGCAGAGCCAAAGGCAGGCGTTGTTGGTGTTTGTTTCGCAGTTGTTTCGTTCAAGACTGCAAACAACATTTATTCATGCAACAACTAACAGCATATTGATCAGACCATACCACAGCAGTACCCCGGCAGGAGACTGCAAACAACTAGAACATGGGAAGCCGCGCGCAACGGTTGGTGCCTTGGGTCTATGCTTCCCTGTGTGCACAATTGTAACATACCACATCAAAGAGTTACTGTAGTTCGTCGAGGCATCACACATAAACAATCGTGCGGACCTCATAGCACCCTCCCGCACTCGGCAACTGATTGATGAAGGTGCAGCGCGTCCCGTAATTAATTGTGCCTGGCACCAATCCGTGATTTCGCACCCATCGGGATTATGGCACCAGGGGGCGCAAAAAAAAGCAAGAGCGGCATGATTTGATGGCATTCCCGCACCGGTATCGGTATTCCCGCACCCTCGGTGTTACGGCACCCGTGTGCGATGAACGACGTGGAGAGGATGATTGTTGGAAAACGATCGCACCCCGGTGCCAGAACACGCACAACTACTGTATGCTACGAACCAATTCTCCGCTCTCTCCCGCCCCCGTGTATTCCCGTGTTGAAATAGGACGACCTAGGAGCCTTCGAGGCGGCGGTGTCTTTTTTTTTGCACTGGGGGTCGCGGCTTCTGGTAACCTTCCCGCAGCCACCCGTGCCGGTGCTAGCAGGGATGGAGCTCGCGCTACAACGCGCCGATCGGGAGCTCGCGGCCCACCTCAAGTCCCTGAGCGTCGGAGCGCTATCCTACGGGTGGCCCCTGCTGCGTAGTGCCTTCTCGGAGGTGCTAGCCCGGGAGGAGTGGCTGTGTCTCATCGATCGCATTCTGGCGAACGCCCACCAGCCTGAGCTTCTCGAGGCTGCCGTTGTGGGCTTCATGGTTTCCTTTCGGAAGCAGCTGCTTGTCCTGGAGTCGACCGAGGAGGCTGAAGCCTTCTTTAGGCGGCGGCAGTCACCCTCGACCTCCGACCTCCAACGGATTTTCCGGGTGATGGAGAAGGTGTCGAGTTACGTTCAACAACCCGAAAGATTGGGAGGTCAAGTGGACAGCGATGGTGCAGATGTGGGCGAGGCGATGGCGGCATTAGCTTTGCTTCGCATAGCCCCTCAGGAGTTCAAACCGCTTCCTAGGGTTGGGCCTTATCCGTTCTTTGACGGGTACCCGCAGTTTGTGATCAACTATCAGGCGGAGATGAGGCAGAGAGTGGCCGCACAGGAGCGCGACATGAGACACAAGTACCGGCTGGTGAGTTCGATTGAGTGATGTTCAAACTATGTCGTGCGAGGCGCGCGATCGATTCGTCACAGTACTGTCTCCTGTGCACATAAATAGGCGTTCACTTGAGTTGCTTCCCGTGGTGAGTTTGTCCACATCCAAAGCGAAAAAACACTCGATGATTGTCTTGCCGGGAAACCTCGTGTAAGGTCAAAGGGGTGGGTGGGCTAACTCCTGTTTTGCATGTCTTGGCGGTTAGACCATTGACCACGCGTCCTCGAGGGGACGGATCATTGTTCCTGCAGGATCGATCACCGATGTCCAATCGTTCCTTGCTACTTTGCCAAAGGTGACTGAATTGTTTTTTTCCCTAGCCAGTTTATCCTATCGGTATCACTTCGTGCGCTTTCAGCCCACTTCGTATGCCTACCCCAGTATTTATACAGTCTTCTCCTGGCCATTCCATGCCTCAAACGTCGCCCTGCACCTTCCTTCTACTTTTCCCAGCTCAGTCATGTACATGCATGTATCTCTCTTTTTCATAAAACGGATACTCTGCAAGCATGAACCCGGTCTTCGCACTCGGAGCCGCATCACACTTGAACTTGTCGTCGTCGTCTGTCTTCCTACATCTTCGTCCACGTTCTCGAAGGCCAATGTCCCGAATCCTAACTTTGACCTTCAGCCTCGTCCCTGCATCCACTGGTCCAGATTGGAACTCCTTGAACCCTAGTCCTTCCTTCAACATTCCGTACACATCTATGTAAACCCTCCTTAGTTCCTTGGTTTCTTTTGTTAGATTATGTTCTTCTCTATCGGCAAAAGCAACTTACATCTTCTTCTTGAGCCCCTTGTAGGCCTACCGATTCTTACGTATCAACTTCGTCAATTTCGAACTCCTTCCGTACGTCATCTACAACCGCAGCCCGCTCCCTGGGCTATCTACCCCTCTTCCGGTGTGCCCAGTTTGCCTCCCGAGCTATTCTCGGCAACCTCTCCTCTCCAATATCACATATACACTACGGACCGCCATTCATTCTAGCTTCCTTACGTCTCTCCCGATCGTAGGGACTGGACCCCTAGTTCGGCCTATACTGCTGCGTGCTTTTTACTTATTTTGCGCTTGGAGCATCCTAGGATGATTTTCGCCGCTTTCATCTGCGCCTCCGACGGCTCTTTGACTTCCTTCTTTTTTCTTTCGCATACTTCTCCGGTGTACTATGGTGGTACGATGACGCTCTTCAAAACTGTCAACTTGAAGCGTGTATCCAGGTGCCGGTTTGCGAGTATTGGGGTGCAACTTTCCTGCTCGCACTTTGCCCTTTTCCGCTACTGTGGACATGTGGGCATTCCATGGACTGTCTTTTGCGATCTCTACTCCGAGATACGTGTACTGATTCGCTACTAAAATCTCCTCGACCCACTTAGGTATCTACACACCAACATATCATCCACAAGCAGCTTTCCGGACAGCAAAGTCTCCCCTACCTGTACTCCCTTCCTAACTGTGCCTGTACGGCTTTCAACATATCGTTGATGAACACGTGAACAATATCGGGGACAAATTGCCAAGGGGGGGGCGTACTCTTATGTTTTGCATGCGTTAGCGGACGACGGAGCATTGTCCCCACAGAACCGATCACCGATGGTATATCGTTCTTCACTACGTTGCCAAAGGTGGCTCGAAACATGCTTTCCCTAGCCAGTTTATCCTATCGATATCACTTCCCGCCTTTTCAACCCACTTCCTATGTCCCAGTGCAGCTACCGTATTCTCCTGGCTCTTCCATGCCTCAAACATCTCTCTGTATCTTCCTTTTACATTTCCCAGCTCAGTCATGTACAATTCCCTCTCCTTCTTGTACAACGGATACTCCGCAACTATATGAACCCGGTCTTCGCACGTGGAGCCGCGTTCACATTTGAACTTGTTTTCATCAACTACCTTCCGAAATCTTCGTCTACGTTCTTGAAGGCAAATGCCCCCGGTCCTAAATTTGACCTTCAGCTTTGTCCCTGCATCGATTGGTCCATGTACTAGGTACTCCTTGAACCCTATTTCTTCTTTCAACATTCCGGGGGGGGTAATCTTTTGGACAATCGCCAGAAAACTGTATACCGACGGGGTTTGGGTGAAACAAAACGGTACACAAGGACTTACTTGACTCAAGAACTGACCGCGAGGCCCCACGATGATTGGCCAATACCACCGAGTACCGTATTGTGGCGGCTCAAGGGGAGAGCACCGCGACCGGGTTTCTCGAATCGGCCTTCGCAGTGTTCTGTGGTTCTGTGTTGTGTTGTGTATGTATGCGGTTCTGCGTTGGCAGGGCGCATGGTCAGAACACCGACGACGTTGAAGAGGTCAAGAGACCTCGGTGTTGTTGCAGTGTTGTTGACGTTGGATCTTGGCCATGTCTAAGTTGGATGTGCTCTTGTGTGGTGCTGCTGTAGTAGTTGTTTTTCCCTTCTTTCGCAAGGTGTTGGATTTACCCTTGATTGAGATGACATAGGGTAATGTACCCTTTGTTGCGGTAAGAAACGGTGACTGGAGCGAAGAAAACAGTAAAAGATGATTCGAGAAGCCCGGTCGTGACACTCTCCGCTTGAGCTACCAGGAAACGGTGCTCGGTGGTCTTGGCTAATCACCGTGGGGCCTCGGGGTCAATTCCTGAGTTTATTCCTTGTGCAACGTTTCGTGTCACCCAACCCCCCCGGTATACCGTTTTCTGTCGCTTACCCAACTTTGAAGAACTCATCTCCTCGAACGCGTACAATGTGTGGCAGGTGAAAGAGCTAAGGCAAGGCGCAGGGGCTATCGCCAGCAGAGAGGGGGCACCGAAGTGGGCAGAGGATACTGTCGAGAAGTTGGTTGAGGCGTGAGCTTATGTTCATATGATAGTTGGTCTAACCGAGATTGTATCCGCGCGCGCGATCGGGTACACACGGCCGAAACAAGGTAGCAGTTATCAACACGGATCAAGAATACAGTCGTGCTGGAAGCAGTGGTTGAGCCATAAGGGCGTGTCGGTTGTGAAATTTTGGAAATGGATGGGGTGCATCTGCCTTGTGCTAATCCTTAAGGAAGTCAAGAGTGTTTTGGTAGTGGTATCATCGTAAATGGATGAGCTTTGTGTAATACTGCGCGTAGCTCAGTTATTTAGGTGCGTTTTACTTTGTTTCGAGAGGGTCACGACCGACTGCGTGATGGTCGAGCGCATGAAAACGAGTTGGTTCGAGTTGCCCACTTGGTGTGGGGACAAGAACAAGCTTCAAAGGGTCAACGACTACCTCGTTTCAGACCACACGTCGGAATGTAAACATGCCAAACAAACGCAGGCAACAGCGAACAGAGGGAATCATCCTCGACAGACGCTGGGGAGACAGTACCCTTTATGAAGATGATCTCCGCACAACCACGCAAACAAGCCAAGCCTCCAGCGGCGTTGGCCCTACATGCCTTGAAGGAGGTATGTAGTGCAACGGGCACTACTTCTTCTTGCCCTTCCCCTTCTTTGGCTCGTCTTCTGGCACGGGGATGGGCTCCGGTGGAGGCTGGAAGTACGTGAGAGGTGGTCCGGACACCGGTTGCCAATCGTTCCCGTTCAGCGACACGAAAACACTCAGGGCTCTGTTTGTCTCCTCAGGCGATGCTGGTGCCTCGCCACCCTGGTCATCTGCTGCAGCTCCGGCACCCTTGGGCGACGTAGGGGCGAGCGGTGCCTTGCTGCTCACGCTCTGGTCGCCTTGCGCTCTTGTCGCTACCGCTCCCGCCGCATCTTGGCCTTGGCCATCGGTGCTGCCGCAGCTCGCCAACTCGCCTTGGGTCTGTTCCGGTTGGTTATATTCCCATTGTCAAATCGTTCGAGATGAAAATGTTACGTGTGTAGGTTTCGTGTGAGCCTTTGTTCTCGATGTCTCTGGGCTACCCCTTTGCTATGGGATTGAATGGAACTTAGGCCTGTACGGTACAGCAGTGGACCGCGTCGACACACGCGGGGTTCAAAATCTGAGGAATGTAGTGGTATCAAGGAGCTAGTTTTGTGACCCTGGCTGTCAGGCAGAATTGTTCCACCGATTTCACACGCTTCTCAGTGCAAAACAGGGGGACGTGTTCCTTCAGAATCTCGCTCAACAGCGTTCCGCACCATCAAAAGGCCAAGCGGCGGAAAGAGATGTTCTTAGGACCGAGGGTGGCTCTCGTGGTCAAGAACTAGAGCTTCCTGCGCACGTTTTGGCCCCCGCTCCACGCTAAATTCAGAATCACATCATCGAGCACCCCCCCTCCCCCCCCCCGCCGTGCGACGAAAAATGCGAACTCAAGCAACGAACGGCCCTGTATACGTCGCGCCTCACCGGCTTGGGTAGCGGAGGCACAGCAAAAAAGAAGGATTCTTCGGACGTCGGCACTTCTCTCTCCTCCCAAACACTGTTATCGGACGCCTCTGTGCTGGCAACTTCGCCTGATTGCTGCTCTTCTCCTTGCACCGCGGCGTCCTTCGCTGGTTCTTGCACCGGCGTGGATTTCCCTTCGTTTTCGCCGGCGGCCGGTGACGGTTGCCCTGGTGCCGGCGTAGCCCCCCCCGCCTCCCTGCCCGGTACGCCAGAAGCTTCTCCGGCGCCTTCCTCGACTTCCTCGGCGGGCGGAGACGAGAGCAAAGGCAGCGTCACGTCTATGCCGTGGACATCGGAAACCAATCGGACCTGGTGGTCGCCACAGCAGTCATTAAGATCAGGCCCCGTGTGCACGCACCGAGGAGAGGTCGCAGGGAGACATGGGAAGACAGGGAGGGGTGGGGAGAGGCGGGGCGCGCGTGGATTTCTGAAACTGATTGTGAGCATGAGCACGCGGTGCGTTCCTTTCAACGATCGTTCTCTCGTGCCGGCAGCGCACATCTCCCTCGCTCCTGAACGCAAGGCGCGGCGCCCGCATGGCGTTGCTTCATGACGTTACCTACCTTCGCCTGGTTCCCGCGGAAAGACGGCGCCGTCGTCTTGAGCTCGGCCAACCCCCCCTCGGCCGCGGGGTACAAGCCGTCGCCGTGGAGAGCCAGCTGCGGACCTCGGTACAGCGTGAGCCGCTCCGGCACGGCGAAGAACTCCACGCCGTCCACGCTGACTTCCACCACCACGCTGACCGCCGGCGGGCGTTGCTGGGCTTCCTTCGGAGGCGGCGGCGCCCCCGGCGCCCCGGCCACGAGCCCCCCGGCATCGATCGGCACGACGCCGACGATGCTCTCGGAAGAGACGTCGAACGAGACCGTGTGAAAGGGAACGACGCTCTCGTCGTCCCGGCCGAAACGGAGGCGCACGGCGACGTTGGCGCCGCGATAGAGGTTGCGGCCCGTGATGTGGACGCACGGGCCTCGTGCCTCGCCTCCATCCGAGCTTTTGTCGCCGTCGTCGTCCTCGTCCGCCGCCGCGGCGGCAGTGTCGGAGGCGGGGAGCGGGGGCGCGGGAGCAGGCACCGCCGACGGCAGACAGACATCGGCGTGTGGGTCGTGCGCGATGAACCGCAGAGACTCTCCGTCGAAGTCGGCCCCATTCGGAGCCACGGTGACTCGGGACACGAACGGGAGCTTCGCCTCGGGCGGAAGGGGAGGGCTGCCGCAGGCAAGGAACCACCTCTCCTCGTGAATCGGGAGCTCCGTGTCCGGGTCCGTTCCGACCTCGATGACCTCCGACTCCACCCGGCCAGGAACGACGAATACCCTCCTCGCGGTCGAGCGAGACAGGGCAGAACGCGTTGTATCGTTGCCGGTGCCTTCAAGCAGGGGAGCCGCCTCATCACCACCGCCATCGCCCCTCTCCTCGGTGCTGTCTTCTTCCTGTTCCTCCTCGAAGCGCACCAATAGAGTTTCGTTCTCGTTCGGTCTGAGATGCTCGCCGTCTACCCTCAGCCTCGGGAACGGTGGCCTGCACGTGTCGGGGGTCACCTGCGTCAACTCGGGAGTTCGATAGTACTGGAACCTCGTGCAATCTGACGTGAACGACGTTCCATCAACCGACACCTGGACGACAATACAAATCAGGAGATACGTAATAAAATGTACGTGTCGGGAGGTGCGTAGAATGGAATGGAGGTCCACGGTAGAATGGAGTGAGTCCACGCGGACACCCAAAGGGAAAGACGAGTTTCTGTCACCATACTGTAGTTTTACAATGGTATTGAACTCGAAATCTGTTTCAGATCATTCGAGCGTACATATGTCAACTCCCGGACTATTTCGGGGAGCTGGGGTCGAGGGCATGATCACGGTAATTCCCATTGTAGCCGTGACGAACGTACGATTTCCTGCAACCGGGCTCTCACATGACTCTTTGGGCCTCAAATATGAGCAATACCGCGAGGGGTGGGCTCATATGCGCGCGGCGTGACTGCCTCTTTGACAGGTCACTACGTGATTCTCGTTCATCGAGTGTATTGCCAACGGCCTAAAACGCATGTGCTGGTAAACCGACGACGGCCCTGGTGGTGACCGTCGTCCAATCGGACGGAGCCCTACCACGAGGCAGCATTGTCGGTTCTTATCCGCTCTTCTACCAATGAGGGCATTCTCCCCACCTCAACATACGCTGCCTCTGGGGACGCAAAGCACGGTGCCGTGCACGTCACAAATTCAACCCCGCCTTGACCGGTCTCCCGCGGCATGTACGTCCCCACCGCAGATCGCGACGCCGACGGCTTGTGCCCCTTCGAGACCGGGGTGAACTTCACCACAATATCCTTCGAGTCCCAAAATCCGTACCCCTTGATGACAACCTTACATCCGGACTCCATTGGTCCCGAGGCCGGTTCGATCGATGCCACACGAGGCGGGACGAGCGCCACGCCGCCTTTGTTCGACAGCGCAAAGTCTGTGACTTGCGCACCAACCAGTCGCTCCACTCGTCGCGGCCGCAGTACGTGCTCCACTCTCTCTGGCCGACCATACTGACCTTCGCCCTCACCCCTGTGCCCCAAACCACCGGCTCTGCCGCATCCCCAAGTGAAGAGCTCGCCGTCAGCCGACAACGCGCCAGAGCAGTTTCCGCAGGCGTGAACTTTGACGGCGGTGATCCTTGCTGTCTTTGCCGCGGGGGGGTTGTTCAATGGATTGCTACCACAGCCTCCACCTTTTTCGTCTGGTTGCTGTTGCTGCTGCTGCTGCTTCTGCCAGCCGTCTAGTGGCACCGCTTCCGGCAAGAAGCGGGTGCGGTGGTCCCCCAAGCCGAGCGCCCCCAACGCGTTGAAACCCCAAGAAAGTATCCTTCCTCCCGAAGTTCTCGCGAGAGCGTGCGACCACCCCGCAGCGACCTCGACAAACGGTTCTCCCGTAGCCGGGCACGACGGCATCACCATCTTCGGAACCCCGACGCTGGTCACCCGTCCGATGCCCAACTGCCCCATGGCGCCCCCGCCAAAGGCCCAAGCCTCCCCCGCACGGGTCACAACCAACGTAAAATTCGCCCCGCAGGACACCCCCGCTACCGGGCGCTGGCGCTTCTTCGTCGCCAAGAAGGCTGGGACGGGCTTGGGGCGGAGTTGTACCCCGGTGATGGCGTCGTTGAGCTCGGGCGGGAGGTGTCGACTTGCGTGCCCGAGCTGCCCTTCGGTCCCTCGGCCCCAGGTGAAGAGGTCGCCGTAGGAGGTGACGGCTGCGGAGTGCTGCGCTCCGCATGCCACCTGTAGCACGCGGTAGGCGCTGAGGGCGGGAATCGTCTTCGGGAGTTCGCTCTCCAGCGTGATGGTGCCGATGCCCAGCTGAAAACCGAACAACACAGAGCGGAAAAGTTGTGCCATGTCGATAGACACTTTACAGCGGGCTGGAGAACCGTGTAATTGTATTGATTGGTCTTCTTGCCTTTACGTACTTTGGACGTGTGTCCGACATTCTGTGGACGTGCTCATGGCCTTTCTTGGACGCCCGTTTGACACGTCTGGGGATGAGTCCATGGACACTTCAGAGGACCTCAGGTGACCTCTCTGTGATCATCGTTCCTTCCTGAGGATGTTATGTAGAACGTGTCCCATACTGGATACGACGAAAATCGTTGGCGAGATTGGTAACCTACACGTTGGAATGCGAATCTTCAACTTATTCTTGTGGTGTCGAAGTGTCTTGGTGCATTGACACGTTCCAATCATCCCGCGGCCACGGCCTACGGCTGACACTGGGTACTACGGCCAGTATGCCTTTGCACCTTGTCGAAAGCACGCAAATCTGCATCAAGACCATGTGAGCAACTTGCCGTGGACGCTTAAAAGACCAACCCTTGCCCTTGAAGAACGCAGCCCTAACCACCTCGGACAGCGACCTGTATCCTTCTGCCGGCGGTGACTATTTAGGTTTTCGGTGGGGTTTTCTGCTTTTTACCGAGGGTTTCAGTCATCGACCGAAGTGAGGGAATTGGGGGAAATTGGGGAATATTCATCCAGTAACGAACGTGGCCACGGACGTCCACGGACCGCTGCCGACGTACGTGCGTGGACGTGTCCTTGGACTTATCCATGGGCATCCCCTGCCGTGACACAAACAAAGTAAAAATGTTCATCATGATATTGTGAGATCCATGTGGATACCAGTCTTGAAGGGAGTCCGCTTGTCGAATGAAGAGTTATTTGCATGCTCACTGGCGGTAAGCTTGAAAGAGATATAGAAGAAGGATCGGCTGTAAACCACTTTTGAGACGACCACATGAACCACTAACAATATGGCATGGGTGACATGTCTCCCCCCTTGTACGAGTTTCTTCAATATGCATTTATTTCATTTACCTGACCCTGTCCCCCCGATCCCCATGCGAGAACTTCTGTCTTCGTCTCACTCCCAGCGTCGTCGGCGCAGTCTCCTTCCGTTGTTGCCGCAACCTTGTGCAGCAACAGCGTGTGATTCTGACCGAACGCCGCACACTCTATCCCCGGCACATCCCATGGATCCTCGCCGGACCCATCTTGGCCCGAAAGCCACGTGGCGCTCTTCGCGCCAATGAGCAGAGCACGCCCAGACCCAGCGCAAACTCGGGCGGCCTCGAGGCCCCTTCGGCCAGCCTCGACGGGGGTTGGATTTTCTTCGCCAGGGACCGGGTTCAGCGATCCCCAACAGAACACCTCTGCGCTCCTCGCCATCCCCGGTGAAGGCTGCCCCGAGAAAGGCCGCTAGCTGCTGCTGTTTCGAACCTATGGGATGCTCCGGTGGACAAAGGATGATCTCTATCGGAGATCGTGTTGAAGGATCGAGGGGTCGTCACGGTCTGCCTTGGTCGGAAAAGCGGTGTAACTGCCAGTGGTATGCAGCAGCTTACGTGTAGCTGTTGTGTGCATGCAGAATTTTGAGACGCATAGACCACACGAATGCGTCAGGTGTTTCGTTGGCAAACATGTGCAACATCTAGCAAGGGCTTTCCAATCGAGAAAACCCTCGAGGAGGTGTGTTTGAGTAAGTCTCAGCGCGAATGTTTCAACACACCGCGAGACAGGATCCACATGATGTACAACATAGAATGTGTGTGGTGCAGTTTCGGGAACATTTTCTAAGAATTCAGGAAAGCGTCAGACTCTTTCCAAGGCTCTGCGCACATGGTCAAAAAACACTTCAAAGAGGTACTTCGCAAATGATCATCATCGTTGCTTTCATTGTAAACTGCTCCTATGCTGCCACTCTGCAGACCCACGACCTTTCCACCGGGAAATCCCTGGGCTTGAAATATCACTGGGTGTACATAACATTGCTTTGGACATCATTTGTTACGGGCGGACTGCCGTAGAAGCACGGAGGAGGTGATTGCAACATGCTTTGAGTGGACGAGATTTTTTTCGAGGAAATTGGCCCGCGTTCGAGCCCGCTTCAGCGCCCCTCAGCTCGCTGGGGGGCGGCTCAGACTAGATCTCTTGCAGGCTTGTACATGACCCAAGGCCGGAAAACCGACGACCAATCCGACTCCTCGGAAGCCGCTTGCTCAAAACCTTCAACTTTTGGAGATCAGTGGCGCGAGCCGGAGTAAAACGTCTGCGCAGTGACACCTGACCGTCGCTCATGAAGGTTCTTTCGTGCGGGCGTTGGTCACGCGAGTCGGTACACCTAGAGTGTCAAAATACTGCAACACTCCACCCTCTTTTGTCGGGCGTGGGCTGTGCTTCTCTATTGAGAAACGTGATTGTTTCGAAGAAAAAGGAGCCTGCAGGGGAGCGTGGGTGACACCAGTTGTCACTGCTGTGTTTTCGTTGTCGTGGGTCTGCAAGGACTGAAACCGATGTCGGCATGAGCATCAGACATGAGACCACCGAGCACGTAGTAGGAGAACCACCGCATACAACCGTCAAGACTCGTCAGAGCAGGGATCGATAACCAAGTTGGTCTCCCTTTTTCAATGGCCCCGGATCTCGGAGGCCTCTACAACGTGAGAAGCGCAACATCGCCGTGTGGAGTACACATGTGCGCAGAGAAGGCGGCAAGCGATTGCATCCGAAAGGAAAGATCGAAAACAAACGACGACTGAAAATCACCATTGCTTTTCGGAGCAGTTTCACCCACGGGAACGAACGAACCCGGCTACGGCACACACACGATCGCACCCGCAGCACGATCGCCACGAAACATGGTATACTTGCAGCATTTTTTTTTCTCTTGCACGCTCAAATATCGGTCTGGGCATTGAACGAGAAACCCTCTTCTACAGCATAATATATTTCTACGAAGACTACGCCACGAAGAAGCCCCGCCCTTCCTCGTCACCCGTCTCTGCGGGGCTGAATCGTAATTTTCTGGCCCGCTTTGAGGCCCATCTGCGCCATGAAAGCTGCGCGTTTCTCCTCTTCTTTCGCGGCTAGTCCCTGCAGGTGCTCCTGGTACCGGCATCATCGCGAAAAGAGACGGCGGGGAGGGACGGAGGCAGACAACGAAGATAGATAGAGTTGACCTGGGAGTTAGCGAGGGAACATGCGCAGCAAAATAAAGGTCTCCGCGAAGCCTAAGCTTTGTAGCAAGGCAAACAACAGGGTTGCATGGTACCCTGCTTTTCGTGCACCAGAGAAAATCGAACACCGCGCTCGCTTCGAACGAACTGTAGTTGCGGGCGCGTGCGCGGCTTTCGAGCTCGATGATGTCGGCAAAAAACAACACAACGTGTGGTGGAAGACAAAACGAAGACATGAGAAGATACTTTTCAACACAAACACGCCGCTCAAGCGCACCGTCTTTGCCATCTGTCGCCGATGCTTCCCGTGCTGGGCTCGCGCGAGGGTCTCGCGGAAGCTGTCCGACCCGCCCATGGTGTCCGACTCCTTCATGTCCAAACCGTCCGCGGCGTCCTCCCTCTCCTTCGCCGCAGCGTGCGTTCTTGCGCCGACCACGCGGCGCTTGTCCTGAGGGCGAGAAGAAAGACAAAACACAACACAGCAAAGGCGGCGGGTGAGTCACGACGGCGAGAGCATAGAGAGCAAAAACAACACCGCCGCGGGGAGGGTTTAATGTGTGTACTCTCCCCACAGACGGCGATGTCTGCAGAATCCAATCGTCCGAATAATCTTTGCTGCCGTCTCTCCTGCTTGCGGCCGACATCGTCAACGTGCGGCGGCCGTGCGTCGTACACCACCATGAGCTGTCACGCGTGTGTGCCTCCTCCAGCAGGCTCCGGGGGGAATATCAACATTGTCACCACCACACTCGCCAGCATGCTCAACTGTCTCACCAACAACGCTTGTCGTCCCGTCTCCTTCGGAGCGATCTCGTCGAGGACGACCGCGTGCTTCTCCCGCTCTTGCCGCCGCTGCCGCTTCGCCTCCGTCCTGCGCCCGCTCCCGCTCCCGCTCCCGCCGCCTCTACCGTCCCCGTCTCCGCCGCGGCCGTCGGCCTGCTTCCCGACCACCACCCCCGGAGCTGTTGCGGCCGACCCGACCGGTAGCACGGGGACGTTGCTGGTGGCCCCTTTGACCTGCGATTGGTTCATTGGAAATCATCGAAGCGTGGTTCCTCCTGTATGTAACTTGACGCAGCGGTTTGGTACAGGGGGGGTGCCAAACTTTTGCGAATTTAGGCGGGGAAGGTTACGATCGAAACACGCGGAACCACCACGTGCAAACAATAACAATTCTTGTGTTGCGTGTGAATCCTTGATTCCTTTCTCGAAGACATAGCGCTCTCACAGACTTGGAAGGAAGAAAAAAAAAAAAAACGCCGTCCCTTCCCTTCCCATCAACTTTAGTCGTCGTTCCCTCGCTCACCTTCTCCGTGCTGGAGTGGACTGAGTCATTGGCCAGCTCCAGCTGCATCTGATCCCGGTCGCTCAACCTATTCACGAACCTGTCGGCGGAAGGGGCCCAGCAGCCCGGACAATGCAGCGGCACGGAACATGTGGGCGGGGGGGGGGGATGAGGGTAAGAGCTTGGCGGACCGCTTGACAGACCGCTCGGCCATTCACACAAAACATGTTTGTCGATCTAAAGGCCTAGCGGCGTTGCTTCACGCGGCAAAGAGGTAAGACCCCCCCCCTACCTGCCCCTCTTGCGCTGCCTGAGCGTTCTGCAGCAGGACATGGCTCTTGTACTGCCTCGCTGCTGAGAGAGAGCCGACACAAAACCAGTATTATCGTCTTCTCTTCTTCGTGCCGAGGGCAACGCACAAGCAAAACGCGATGGCTGTACGATGATACACCGGTAGCGCTGCGCCGCTCATTTGGCAACGAAGCTTGCGGTATCTTTCTGAAGGTGGTGGTGTAGGGGGCACAGAAGATGAAGTTTCCCACACATCCAATCAATCCTTGTGTGCAAAAAACATACGCGTGCACCATTTCTTGTTGCGTCCTTACGAGGACGGTTCAGTCAGGGAAGAAGAAAGAGCTCACCCCCATTTGTGCTGCGTTTTCTTTGTCCGGGCAATCAGCTCGTCGGGGAGGCGACCCTCGTAGAAGTGGGGGTCGAGCTTTCCCCTTTTCGGACAAGCCGAGAAAAAACGAAGGGAGGGAAAAAAAAAAAAAAAGAGGGTGAGTTGTTTGTGTGCGGACGGGCATATATGGAGGTCAGGCGGGCGGCGAGGGCACACGGCGAAATTTCAGGCCGGGTCATCATCGTCATCTCGAGAGTTTCAACGGCCCTTGCGGCATCAGGATCAGCAAAAGTAGCACCAACATCCAGTAGCAGTATAAAAAAGAACAACGACGGTGCAGGTAGGGAAGAAACATTAACGGCGATGGCACGAGGAATCGACTGGGTGGTACCATGCTCTGAGTGTGGAGCGTTCGTAGACCAGCGTTTTCAGGTACCGTAACAGCGGTGGCACTACAAGCAATGGTCGTTGACACAGCGCCAGCGGGGGGTTACACGCAACACCACACAGCAGCAGTTTAGAGAATCTAGCTAAGGGTTCTTATCGTAAACAAAAAACATCCTGCGTCTCTTCCAACCAAACAACTTCGGCGGCACAGCAGCCGCGCGAGCAGCATGTCAACACCACACCCCCTTCAGGACGCCCCCCATTGAGCCACAAGCTCTCGCTACACATAGATTGAGCCGGGCGGCGCGAAACGCACGTGAGTGAGCAATGTAGCTATACCTGTTCCAGTCCTTGATGAACTTGTCGAAGAGCTCGTGCGACTCGTCTGAGGTGAGGTCCTCGAAGAACTTCTTCTTCTTGTGGCAGAGCCACACCTTGAACTCCACCGCGCGGATGAAGTAGTCCTTCTCGCTGATCTGGATTTCGGCTGCGATCAAAACGCAGCGAATCGATCCAACGAGTTTCGGTCGTCACCGAGGGCGCAAACGGGAGGTCAGGAGCGAGGGAGGGAGGGAGGGAGAGTTGCCGGAAGAAGAAGATCGCACGCGTGCGGTCATCCTGTTGGAAACGCGGAGTCCGGCGTTCTACAGTACGCGGTAGAACAGATTTGTTCGGCAAGTGTTCTTGGCAGCAGGAGCGTATTCCCACGGCCGGCGGACAGGGAGATCCCAGAATTGAGTCCCAAGCAACGTTACAATATTCCTACTCCAAAAGTTGGTTTTTGCAACAGGGGCAGGGCTGGGTGTTCACGTGCACACTATGTATCTATCAGGGATCGTGATGCCAGCTGTTGTGGTGGGGGGCGAAGGACGCGCACCTCTTTTCATACTGAGGGAGCACAGCAGCTACATGGTGTGTGCGTCGTGGGCCCGCTGTTGTGCCGGCATGTGCCCCACCAGCGCTCAACACAGACAAAAAAACTAGATTCTTCCTCTGTGCAGAGCGGTTTCACCGGCACTGCGGTATTGGGCCGTGGCAAGCTGTCAACCTGGCAAAAAGTCAATCGGCAATCCCGCTGCCCTACGCCCGCACGGCTCTCTGCTGTGATTTCCACCGAGTCCATCATCCATTGCGCCTGGGTTGAACAGCTACTCTGCTGTCCCTCGAAGCTCTCTGGAGTTCAAGGTCGGGGGTTATTTTCAAGTGTGAGTACTCGGGGTCCACTGCTGTCGATATAATGACACATTGCACAGTTACAAGCAGCAAAGGGTGGCCGTGTTCCCGAAGCACGTGTACGCTAGTATACCTATCTCAGGCTCCCCGTGTTCCACCAGCGGGTGGTGCGTGCCGGCATGAGCTGGGGCACAAGCGGCGGTGGCGGCAGCCCGCCGTTCCACCACCCGCCGGACCGAGCCTCCGCGGGGGAGGCTACCCGGCAGCCGGCAATTCGCTCACCGGCGGCGAACACGCGGGAGTTCCTACTGTAAGCGGACCCGAGCGTGTCGGCAAGCCGCACCGGGGCTGCCTAGGCCTCTCCGTTCCCTCCGCGACCGGCTAGCGGCGGTGGCGGTGGAGGTTTCTACGTACCCTCGCAGCAAGGAAAGACCATACCACCTACATAACTCCGGTGGTGGCGGAGGCGGCGGCCTGCGAGATGTCCAAATACGGGTTGCCTACATACGGTTTTGGTAAAGACGAAAAGCGGCAATGGCTGCGGGCGCATGCCTCTTACTACGAGCGTGTTTCAACGCATGGGAACGCCAAATGACATCTTGTTTGTTCAACTTCCTCCAGTTGCGGGAATAGCGGTACAAAGGTGCGAGAGAGAGAGAGAGAGAGAGAGAGAGAGAGAGAGAGAGAGAGAGCCGTGCGGTACAGCCGTACACTCTATCCCGTCTGCGGTGTATATAAAAAAATGAACGTAAATTATGTGGTGTTTCGTAAGATACAAGAACCATGCTTTTGCACGCCGGGCGCTTGCGAGTTGGCGACAATAGATACATGTGGTGGTAGACGAGCGACCTGCTGTTCGCATCCTAAAGATACACTTTTCGTCAGACCTCCGCTTTATTTCCTACGTTGCCCACCTTGGATGCTTTGCTTTCCACTGCCTTCCTCCGTTGCATCTCCCTTCCGCTCTTTCTTTTTCTTTCCCTTGCTCTTGCTGCTGCTGCTGTGGCTGCTGCTGCTGCTCTTCTTCTTCTTGTCGCCCCCCCTCTCGCTGCGGCGGTCATTTCGGCTCCGGCTGCTGCTGTGCTTGCTGTCCTTACTTCTCTTCTTTTTCTGTCTTTCCGCAGAAGGACTGCTCTCCTCCTTCTCCCTCCGCCTCTTTTTTGATGACTTTTCCCTTTCCCTCCCTCTATGACTCTCCTTGCTTTTATTACTTTTCGCCATAATGCTGTGTGTGCTGGCTGCTGCTTGTGGGCGTTGTGTTGCACGTTGCAGGGTTGCACACACAATGGGGGGGGTCGTGCATCAACTTGACCACATGTGCTTGTATCTGGCATGATACACGGGGCCTCGAAAACCTCGTTCTTGCGGGTGTTACTTGTCCTGTGTTTTGCTGTAACTTGTTGTCGCTTGTGACGGTGAGGTTCATCTCATGTCCTCGCTGCTCACACCCACCTTTTCCCTCTCGTGATGGCGTCTCCGGCTCTCCGAATCAGGGTCAGATGCCCCACGGTGTGCCCCACCCCTGTTGAGTTAGAAGGATGTACTCCTCAGACAAGATTCGCCGACTTTCAATCCATGATACTCAAAGCTCTCGGCAGGGAGAGCGAGCAAGGCTTGTCGATACTCACTGCCTTCCCACCCAGGTATGTATGTATGCCGGCCCGACCACCGGCTGGTTGAACCATGGTGGATGGTGTCACTTCGCGCTTGCGCACGTGCCTACATGTCTTCAACAAGTTGCTCGTATGATGCTCTGATACCCCGTCACAGCAGCCGTAGTCTACTTGCGGCGGGACTGCTGTTCATGACTGGGATAGCGTACTCACTACTGCTGTGGAGCAAGTACAACTACGTAGCGTGTGGCCTAATGCAAGAGCACCGAACCGTGTAGCGTGCTTAGAGCGAGTACAGCTAAAGGAGCAGTTCCAGTAATTTAGTGATCTTTCTGATGTGGAACATTTGGTTTGAATGGCACAGCACGTGCAAAGCAGGTCATCTTGGCGACGAGTCAAAGATCGACTCGATTATTTGGCGATACTTTTTGTACTCTTTACTGGGCGACGGTATAAACACAAGTCGCATCTTAGACTATACCTGCAGCACAACCTACGGTATTTACGTGTTTACGGAGTACAAACTTGGCAAGAGTTCGGCAAGCCCACACTTTCTGCACCACAATATTACTGCTGTAGTGCCCCAAGTGTGTAGCGTTATTGTGGCGTTCTACTTCAAGAATAGGATCCGTTGTCGAACCTCTCAAGTATCACTCATAGCACCGTCTCCTCGCAAACTCACCCACTGATTTCTCGCTGGAATTTTTTTGCTGCCGCCCTTGACACTCGCGCATGATCACCCCGCGCAACCTACTAATTTTGACCACGTTTCGCGACGACGAGCAGGCCGCTGGACATGCCCGAAGACGCGGAGATCGGCGGCAAGCTGTCGGACAACGAGAGCGTCACGGTACGTCTCGCCACCCAGATGGCCGGCATCCAGCAGGGAGGAAAGTGGGGCCGTTCTAAACGGGCGAAAACGGCTAATATTGCCACCGCAGCCACCACCACCACCTCATCATCGTCTACGCGTAACTCTTCCCGCGCGTCTAGAACCCCCGCCGTCGCCGCCGGGGCAGACGACGCAACGACCGCTACGGGTGACGCCGACCGCAGTAGCTCCGACCCTTCGGGAGGGCCCGCAGGCAAGAAGAAGCCCACCGGCAAGGCGAAGAATGCGGGCGAGAGAACTGCCGCTTCATCTGGTGGCCGAAAAAGCGGCAGCAGCGGCGGCGGTGGCGGCGCGACGGCGAGGGGGGCGGGCTCGGCCTCGGCCTCGAGCGGGACAAGCGGAGGAGGAGGAGGTAGGGCGGGGGGCGTGCACACCCTCGGTGGGCCCCTCACCCCGCCCGCAGCGAGCCCTCGCAGGAGAGGCAGCGGAGGAGGGAGTTCCGGCAGGCCGGGCACCTCCCCGGCCGCCGCTCCCGGACAGGTGCGCACCCTGTTCGGCTCCTCGGCCGCTACCTCCGGCCGGACTGCTGGCGGCAGCAGCAGCAGCAACGGAGCAGCTGCAGCAGCCGCCGCACGAAGAGCAGGAGGTGCTGCTGCAGGGTCGAGTGGATCATCGCCTTCGCCTTCGGCTGGAGGAGGAGGAGGAGGAGGAGGAGGAGCGGAACTCGATGCGGTCGCGTCGGCCGTGGCTGCGGCCACCGGAGGCAGCGGGGCGCCCAACAGGAAGCGACCGCGGGGCACGGGCGTCCAGCTCAAGAGCGAGGGGGACATCGCTGAGCGCTTGCTCACTGCGGTCGGGGGCGGGGGCAAGGGCACCGCGGACCGCTTCTTCCGGAAGGCGATGAAGCTTGCGGTCGACAAGCAGTACGACCAGAGCCGGGCGGGTGAGACTTTATTGGCGTCGCCTTTCAAAAACAGCTCGTGTAGTCTTCTACCCCGGACCCCTCCTCGTTTCCATCAGAATTCACGAGGTAAACCAATACCGGTACCCCCCCCCATCGCTCGTCGGAAGGATCGATTGACCATCGGTGATCGGTCCTGTGCGAACACTGCTCCATCCTCTCGAGCACGTATGGTCAATGGCCTAAATACCCGGTAGGGAGTGCAAAACATGAGTACCACCCCCACCCCCCCCCTCGCTCGCATCAACATTTGTGTTGTGAACGAAACAACAGATGCCCGTGTACGTGCCGCCCTCGGCGGTTGGTACACGGCGGAGGCCAGTGCGACGCAGCGGCGGCTGGGGGACGGCGAGTCTGTCGCTCTCGACATATCGTTCTCAAAGGGAGCCGGTGCCAAGAGCCAGCTGACGGTGGGACAGCGAATCTCCGCACACCCAATCCTATCTGAAAATCTCCTACCGCGTTGTATTGTACTCCTACTGTGCAGTACTGACAAGTAGTAGGATGCAGCAGGAACAACAACATCGGGGCCGTGGTCTTTTGCTACTAGTTATGTGTGTGGCACCGGGAACAACCCCACCTTTTTCTTCGCCTGCGGTACGGTAGTGAGACAACAATCTACGGGATTTGCGCTTCGCGTACGTAGATGTCCTTACACGGCGGTAGAGCTTGAGCTACAGCTTTTCCTACCACTACTGTACTACTTTTCCCGGTGTGAAAGCGTACTTTGTGTTAACAGTCTACTTTTTAAATTTTCTGTTTCTTTTCTTTTTCCCCTCTTTTTATTGTTTTACAGGAGACCGTGGACCGCATCCCCCGCGAGCAAGTCTCCGCTGTGGTCCGCATGATCGCCCGCGACCCGGAGTCCCGGGAGATGCTCAAGCCCCACAACTTCGCCGGCTGCAGCCCGCGCATGTTCTGGTCGCTCGTGCAGCACTGGGGCGGCGACGTCCCGGCGGCGCTCCGCCTCGCCGCGCCCGACGTGGACTGGGGCTTCGTGGAGACCAGGGACAGGAAGCCGTCGGAGAAGGCGGTGGCGAACGCGGCGGCGGAGGAGGCGGAGCGGCTGGAGGCGGAGGACGAGCGGGCGGAGAGGGCGAGGGCCAAGAGGAAGAGGAAGAGGAGGAAGAGGAGAAAGTGAGTTTCGAGGGGGTTGTTGGCCTACTATAATGGGGTTTTCGGGTGTGCCGGGGTTAATACACGCTGTTTGTTCCTTCTCGTTTTCGGGACTTGATAATTTGGTGATTGTGCTTGTCACTCTTTTTCCTTACGTGCAGTCTGTTCGCGTGCGAGATTTGTCGAGCCTACACGCCTCTCACGTCCGTCTTCGCGGCTTCGATGCCTGGTGGCATTTTCAAAGTGGTTTCCGTTTGTGAATATGGGATGGTTTACCCACGGCAAGAACACCAATTGTATCGCAAGCGGCTGCTGGTCTTTTTGCAAGTTGTAAAATTCTTGCGGTTCGGTGTTGCCCAATTTCCGGCGGCAGCAGAGACCTCATTTCCCGATGATACCCACCCGCTTTCCCGCCGCCGCCGCCGCCGCCCGCCGACTTCGTCTCTAGTCAACCCCCCCCTATTGTACACGAAATAAACGCCCCTGTAACGAACATACCGTCCCACCCGGAACTATCGCGCCTTAGGGAGGGCATCGAGACGGACTCGTCCGAAGAAGAAAAAGAAGAAGAAGAGCAGCCGCACGCGGCGGAATCTCTTCCAGCCGACGAGGTGTCGGAGGAAGCGCGTGCCGCTTCCGCGGCAGCGGCGGCGGCGGACGCCCGTCGTCGGGCCGCCAACGCCGCCCTCGCCAGGCTTACCGCGTCGCAGCGGCGCCCGGCACCGGCGGCGGCCGGAGGGTCAGCGGCGGCGGCAGCGGTAACGGTAGCTCCGGTTGTGCCTGCCACGGAAGAAGAAAACGGGGATGGTGTGGAGGAGAAGGAGGAGGAGAAGGAAGAGGAGGAGATTGACATGGAGGGTTTGGTGGAGGTAGCGGGAGAGCCCGGGGCCGGGCTTCTTGTGGCGGCCGGGCTGAGGACGCTCGGGCAGCTTGCCGATCGCGACGAGGAGGACCTGGCGCGACAGCTGGCCGCCCTGCAGCAGCAGCAGCAGCAGCAAGAGAGAGATGCCGGCGAAGGGCCTGCTGCCGGGGAAGGAGCGGCGGCAGATGGAGGTGCGGGTGGCGGCGGCGGCGGCAGTGGCAGCGGAGAGAAGGCCAGGGTCACCGCGGAGGAGGTTTCCGAGTGGGTGCAGGGAGCGAGGGGGGAGGAGCTGGATGAGATCATGGCGGACATTGTCGGAGGGAACGAGGACGTGATCGAGGTTTGTATGCATATGATGTGTGGTACAGCTTTATTTCCCCCCCTCGGGTCGTGGGGTTTGTTTTATTTTTCCTACCTTTACCGAAGCAGCCCCTTTTTCCTTTTGCCGAGGTTTCTCTCCTAAATTCGTTTTTTGTTGGGGCTTCGTTTGGACATACGTGCGTTTTTATCCTTTACCTCTCTTAAGTCTCCTCTTGGTGTCACAAGAGGCCTGGCAAGTGTTCGGCACGTATGTTTCATTTCTCTACCCCCAAAAGCCGAGCCCCCTCATCCTGGAAACCCCATGCTGCTGCTGTATCCTTACCCAATGCTGCCATATCCTCGCGCCGCGGCACAACCTAACACGCAAACGCCAGGCGTTGGAAGAAGTGTCGGTGTCAACCCCGAGGGACCTCGTGCGGATGGGCGCGTTCCCGGACGTCTTGGTCGGAGACCGTCAGGGACAAAGTGGGCGCCGAGCGCTTCGCGCCGCTCGCGGGTCTGGTCACGGCCGAAGCGGTGGAGACGTGGCGGAGGAAGGGCGACCGCTTGCTGGAACAAAGGCCGTGGCTGGAGCTCTGGGTGCACCAGGGGTGAAGAAAGCGGCGCGTGCGGGGGGGGGTGGAGCGGCCGTGCTCCTCCTACCACCGCTGCTTGTGGAAGGGGGGTGTACCGTGTTTCACTTTTTGTTTTGCGTGAATATTGTGGGTTGTGTTGATTGGTTGCAATGATGATGCGCCCCCCCCCCCCCCCCCCGTCCGTGTTTTTTTTTCTTGAACGTAGTCGGGTGTGCGACAGAGGGCGAACTGCTTGCTGGAGCAAAAGCTGGTCGTCCCTCAGATGGGTATGGGTGTACGTAGGTCGGGTGAGGCGTACAGATTATGACGATTGTTTTTGGACAACCAATACCGCGGTTTTATGGATAGCAGTCGGCGCCGTGCTAGCCTGGCGCTTGAGCGGAGAACGGGAGAGACAGAAAGATGGTCGATGGATGCTATGGCTATCGACTTGGGGGTGCAAGGGCGTGTAGAAAGTGTCGCCTGTACACAGCTATGGATTGCCTGGAAGCGTCAGGGGATCACCGGGGTATGGAGGCCGGTGCTCGACGCAACAAGGCGTGCTGCCAGCAAAAGAGCAAATCGATATGGAAGATTTTCTTGCTCCCAGTTCGTGATTTTCAGGCAATCTGTGTCGCGACTGCTGGTCATGGACCAAGAGTGTGGGACCGTGAATGTTGTGGTTTAGCCCCGCACCACAGCTGGTTGACGACACGATATGTGAAGTCACAGCGTAGGTTGGTTTTGTATAGTATGCGGATGTACGATTTGGCTTCGGGAAGGGGGTATCGCTGGTACGCAGTGCTTCTTCCTAGGGTTGGGGGCACGTCGTGGGTGCCGAAGCGAAATCAGGGGTGGGGGGGGCGAGTTCATGCCGTCTGCCCGGTATTTCGTTCCTGTTCTATTGTTGCGGACCCGAGGAGGTCGACAGCGTGGAATCATTTGTTGGTGGTGTTCTTCTAGTAACGAAGCCTTCGGCTTCAGCAAAAAACTGCCGCCTTCCGGTCTTCGGTGCCCTTTCGAGACCGGCTAGTCGACGGGGCCAAGTGTTCTACGTCTCGAAGAACGTGACCGCGTTATCCTTAGATCCTTCTAGGCTCGATGCAATGCGTGCCCAAGCCGACACATCAACGCTCCAGGGTTCCGATCCAGCTCTAGTCCTGGATAGATGCCATTCACTCGAGGCGCAAACCTCTCGCTGTGCGTGTGATCTCACGAGAGAGCACATCATGCGCCTGCGAGACACAACAGCTGCCAGCAAAGCCGTGCTGATCAAACTGAACGAAGATGTTCCGAACTGACAGTCGCCTCTGTTTACCGACCATCAACGCGTCACTGCAACCTAGGGCTAAGTTCTGTGCAGGTCGTGAATTCTTGTGCAGTAACTGTCACCTCTCGAACCGGCCGCTCCAAAGGGCAAGATGTCTTGGTGTGTCATCCTGACGAAAAGGACGGTAGTTGCAAGCAGGACGGAACACGGAGAGCGGAGTGGCGTCTACGCGGATGGATGTGCATGTGTAGGCTGGTTGAGTGGAAGGGCGTTTAAAGCATAGATATTCATAGAGTGGATGAGTGGAAGAACGTTTAAAGCATTTCGTCTACGCTCATGAGTGGAATGATGTCTGATCAACAAATCAGTTCTGATGTTGTTCTGACGACAACAACAACAGTGTATGGCCGCCCGGGCCTCTTGCTCGTGCTAATTCCAATCAGAGGTACTTGGTCGAAAACACATCCCGTAGTACTTGTTGTCATGAAGTCCGCCTACGCGAAAATAGAGAAAAACTGATGAAATAATTCACAGATTGATTGCCATGATGTCACATCGGTTCGGTGTGGGTCCTGACGTCCCGAAAATGGAAAAATCTCAAGAAGGATGATTCCCCCATCACACATTCAGCTACATAGAAATATCGATACCGATCACCCAAACCTCATCATTGGTGGTGTTCATGTCGGCACCCACGGCCTGGAGAAACTCCACACACCGGACATGGTGCGATTTGGCAGCCTTGTGAGCCGGTGTTTCGCCCTGCCGCAAGGAGCAACCAGCAGCAAACATGTTGTCATTCCAGGTGGGCCCAACGACAAGGACGCTATGTACAGAACGCGCCACTACCTACGAACTCAGCAGTTAAGAAGTGAAGAACTTGAGGAGCCTCTAAAAAGAGGAGCCTCTAAAAATATAAAAATCTGAGAACTTGGCCGTAAGAACGGGTGACCAGTCAAGAATCCTACACTAAAACCTATGTTGTCGTCGCCGTGGGGGTTAGGGCTACCCCACAGACAAAATAATAAATGAGCATCGGTCAAAAGTACATGTTCTCAACTGATGGCGCATTCGGCATGTTGAGAAGGTTGGGAAGGTCAAGCCAATACTGTGGTGTGCTGCCGTTGCCCTTAGCTACTGAACACCTGCTTCGGGCAATTTGAGACGAGCTCTACCTGTCTTCTTGAGAAAACGCGGCCGTGTGATTAATCTTTTCGGTACCGATTCTCGCCGTGACGCAGGTGCGGGTTCGGCCAACCAGGTTGGCGTTGGGCTTCAACCCTCGAGGTTGTGCGGAATCGTGTGGGGATCAAACCACCGCTTTGCAATCAAATTGCCCATTCTTTTCAGAACCTAGCATTCTACAACGCGAGCGTGCTAATAGTGGTTTGTCACCTATTCCCCCCACGGGGTTGGTGCTCGCGCGTGCAACATGGGTATGAACCACGCCATGCAGTGTGTAACATACACAACGCGTTGCCGCCGTGGATGGGTGGTCGCGAGTTTGTACAGGGCGGGCAACCACACGTTGCCACAAGGAGGATGACCGTATGACGTTGGGCGCGTATGATCAGGCATCTCACGAGGGAGAGAGTGCCATCGTGGTTTCAACGCTGTTTCTAGAAGTGGGTTGGAAGACAAACCAAGCTGTATTCGGTATTGTACGCAGCACGCAGGAGGTGCTGCTACAGATGTAACTCCATGCGCCTTCATGAAAATCTCACGCTCTGTGCTTGTTGCTGCAGGCGAGCCCACCCGCCGCGTACGGTCCTGGCTTAGTATTGATACCGCGTACGTGGTCGAAAGACAACAGTACTAGAAACGACTAGGAGCACCCCGCAACGGGCACATTCACCCTACCCCGAATCCGAAGATCTCGTCTTGTCGTGCAAATACATTATCTTACCGATCTGTCCTGCTTGTCCATGTTCGCCCCGAGCTCGTACAGCGCCTTGAGCGCCTGATGGAAGCACCGGGACATCATGGTCAAAGATGTGTCAACATGATGGTAACGCAGGTTATGGAACACGAGCGAGTCATCGTTTGTGCCAGTTGTCACTCCTTTGGTGTGGCCAGGATCTCATCACTGGAAATACCCAGCAGAGACGCAATGGCCGTAAGGTGCTAAATATGATTGATTCGTTGTACGGCACCATGTCTGCCCGGACTAGAGAAACACTGTGCCGACAATTGCTAGCAATGTTTTACACCTTGCGTATTACGCCCATCTTCGGCCCCGAAAAAACATACCGTAAAAATCGCTTGGTTCTTTGAAAACGCTTTGAAATGAAGCAATACCACAAGGCCTCAAGGGCTCTAGACGCCACGTGTTACTGATCTTCACAAGTGGGGTATCCGCGGCGAGAACCATTGCAGAAACTGACGTTTAGAATTCATAGATCTCTCTCTACCCGCACACCCACAACTTGCCCATGACGCCGCCTTCCTTCATCTCTCTCAAGACCACTACTGCTGTACCTCGGCGTTGTCGAAAATTGCGGCGATGTGCGCCGGAGTGGACCCGTTGTGCGATTGCGCGGACAAGACCCCCGGATCTCCGAAGCATTCGTAGATCGCCTTGATAGATTGCACGCTGTTGGTGGAGGCCGCCATGTGTGCGGCAGTGGAGCCGGTTATGTCCTTCATCTTCAGATCCGCTCCCGCATGGTGGAGCAGCATCATCACGTCGCGGTGGTCGGTCGAGGCCGCGCTCAGAGCTGGGGTCCATCCCTTTTGTTATATCGCATGGACACAGTAATGGGAAGCGTCGGGGGTGCTGCGGAGTTCGGTCGATGAACTGCCGTGGTTTGTTTCTTCCTTCGCGTAGGCTTTCTTTCAGGGCAGGGATATATGGTAAGGTTGCAAGCTATTGCACACGAATGCGATCGTGTTAAATCGTACATGGCTCTTTTGTAACACACCCCTGTGCGACAACTCCGGATTGTGCGAGAAATCCGATCCCTGTACAGAAATCGAAGTACATCATTTCTTTCTGAAATTCAGCAAGGTATACGGTGCGGTGCGTGTCTGTGTGCCTGGTTGAGAAGATACTGTTTGCCGATTCAACGAAAGCTTCCGGTCATTTCTACACGTACGTGTGCACCGTCACAGCAGTGCCATGCCTACAGCAGTGGACCCCCCATCGGTACATACCGCGGTAGAAAAGCACTGCGAAAAAACTGTTCCAGGGAAAGAAGCGTCAAGGAACTCGTGGTACCATGCGCAACGTCACACGGCCGAAGTAGGGTTCTCCAGAGTTTGCGCCCCCCCGTGCGATGACTCCGATGGCTGACCGAAAATTGAACTATATCAATTCGTTATTGTTCTCATTGCACCCATGTGCTACAGCTGCGGACTGTGGGACAGCTCGCAACCTCACGGCATTCCCTCTTTCCGCAAGAACAAACCCACTATTAATAACACGTTCCTGTCGGTATGCAGGTTTGTCATGTTGTCTAGATCATTGGGCTGTTGAGGTTGCCTACCTCGATTCTATGGGGAGGTGGGTCCGTTGGCATGTACATGGAGGGGTATTTGGTTTGTAGGCTTCCTGCCGATGTACATCAAACTTGTCCTCCATGTTGTCTCAAGCATATTTTTGGGAACTGGACATGGAAAACACCCATTGGGTACCACTAGATGCGGCACGCATCCTATTGAAGAACGTTTCCCAACGAATCGGATCCGAATATTGAACCTATGTGGTTGCTGATGCGGAGATAGTCATGGATTCAACTTGACGTTATCCCAAAAACGAAAAAAAATAGTACCCTGCTCCTAGTTGCGACGTTATATGCAAGCAGTGGGAACCAGAGACTTTCGTTCTAGCCGAAGCAGCGGCGATTGGTCACATCTAGACTCAAATCACAGCAGTGTTCAACAGCGAGTATGTCTACACAAAAACAGTACATCTGTCATCCTGCCTTGTTGTTCTTGGCGTTGACGTCGGCCCCGTGCTTGAGCAGTTCTTCTACTGCGGCAGATTGGCCCGCGTGGGCAGCTGTGTTCAACGGCGTGTCGCCTCGATCGTCTCGGATATTTGGTGGTGTGTTGCTGTCCTCAAGAAAAAACCTGACCCAAGTGAACCGTACAAGGCATGTTTCTATCTGGAGGATCGCTGCGGTTCACGATACGTCTTCTTGTATGCTATTTTGTCTTTCTTGGGTTCGCCTCAAACGCGCTGACAAAGCCATCGCACCTCAAACTTTGTTCCATACAACGCTGCCGCGTACATCCCGATGTTACCGCACAGTCCCTGTGTCGAACTCTGTGCGTATCTTTTCACGTACAGGCATGCAAAATATACGGCAAGCAGGTGACTGAACGACAGAGCTTGCTGGCACCCGTATGTGTACTATCGCACGGGTCTGTCTGCCAACGAGGCAACTTTATCAAATTGTAGAAGAAATGGTTGACACAGCAAGACACTTTCGTTTGACACTTTGTCTGCATCCTGGTTTGAACCCTACGCCGCTCCCTACCCTTCACAACCCAAACACCACCGGTTGATGGTGAGGTCAGTGCTCCATGGATAGGTGCTATGTTAGCGTGCGCTGGATACGTGCCAATGTAAGGTGGTATCGTGTTCCGACATGGAGACCGCCAAATCCCACCAGTTTCCAGTTTCGATCAAGTGGTAAACGCGCTGCTGCTGCTGCTGCTGAGTACCTTAAACCGCGAATATCCCCAGTTTGTGCCATCTTGTGGATGCCGCTCCATTGCACCGCGAAAAGGTCCTCGCCCTCTTCGAATTGGCGCCTGCCAAGCCTCTCGCAAACAGCTTCGGCGGTGCTACCCTCCTGTGCAATGGAGTATTTGGCATAATAAGTGTAAGCCAGACCTAAAATAGAATATCCACCCGCCGACACCGCGCAAGGAACGGGGGATAAGGCGCCCGCGATGATGTGCCCCATCAACGTCCAACATAATGGATGGGGATGCTTTTCTCGAACTGGACCAACACGTTGAGTGAGCTTTAAGCAGAACAACCCAGAGCTTCATTATGAAAGTCATGGAGCAAGCCCGTGAAGACTAGACAATACTTACGTGGCAATCTGAGATACAGTACCACTGCTTTCTTACCGCTGCAAGCGCCAGACCAAGGACTCAACCATACCGCACAAACCAACAATTTGATGTAGTTTGTACGCCTGTGGTAAACGTCTGCGATGTAAAGCAGGGTCAAAGTCCATTGTCTTGCGACCGAAACCACGCGACGGTCGCAACGGAACAGGGCGTTTGCCCGTGTAAGGGGCAACGCGTGTTTTTCAGCTCTGGGAGTAGATTCCGCATATTGTTGCAGAGCGCAGGGTGAGAGAGTCTCGTATCCTCTCTTGAACTGGAGTCACCCTCTAGGCGGACTGTTCTTCACTCTCGCGCCCAGCTGCTTAAAGATATCTAAATAGAAAACCTGACTCACCTTTTGTTTTTCCATATCTTCCAGAGACTGCTTCGCTTGTTGAAGCCGTCGCTGTTCATCCACCATGGCCTGCATGATTACCTGAAGGGAATAATATAGAGCAGTACCCTCCGCGGGACTACTGTAGACCTCTCTCTTCGTCACTTGCGCCAACTCCTACCCACCCGTCTAGGCCCACCGATGGAATGCACAGCTCGATAATGACTACGAGGAAAACAACCGATCGTTCTCCTGGTGTTATCCTCGTTATCCAAGCAGGGCTCCGGAGCGGGAAGCGGACCGCTCCTCGTTCCCTCAAATGCGCCGCACGGCCCCGAGCAGCAACCTATTGGAGCTGGGAACCACTTTTTGAAATTAAAATTTTCATTTTCGCGCGCGTACAGCTACACAGCTGCAGTCCCAGCCAACTGCCGAGAGTCACGATGGACACGTACAGTGCCCCCCCTGATACGCATAGCAGATGCGAAGTCGGTATAGGCGCGGCCCGGCATGTGTATGGCCCAGCCAGTGTTCATCTCCTACCCTGCAAAATTCACCATACAGGTGGGCCAAGATTTGAAATTGCGTAACGCGTTTGACAAGGAGTTGTCAATTCCCCCAGACCGCTAGGGTTTCCTGTACCAAAGCTGCTTTAGTGGGAAGGTGAACTGATGGCATATCCTTTCTGAGGAGTCAGGCTACAGCTCCTGCCGTTTGCCGATGACCGCACAATATTTCGCGTGAAATACCGTTGTCGCGGATACGGAAGATACCACCCTCCCCAAGTGAGGAATCCGCCGCCGCTGCCTCCACGGGCGGCGAGAGCTGTGCCGAATGATAGTGCGCAGAACCGCTTGCTGAAACGAAACGTCGAGTCAACCGTTTTCCGTGTTCGGTGTTGCCACCATCCTCTCGTTCTCTTTTCCCTGAAGAAAAACTCTACAGCAGTAGTTTGTGGCTGCCGGCACGGGCCCGCAGGGGATGGCAGAACACGAGCTTTGATGTTGACAATTTTTGAAAACAAACGCAAGAGCACCAGAATGGCACACGAGGGACACAAGACCAGTCGGAAGGCATCGCGAAAAACAGAAATCGTTGATTCTCGCACAGGGCGGCAGTAGAGGCTTCTCAAAACATACATTTCACGCGTCTACCTCCACACGCCTTCTTTGAAATCAAGATAGGAATTCACACTATTCTAAATTCAAGTCAATAGAGTCAAAACGGCAGGCGCTCAAATAAGCTCTGTGTTGCCAAGAACCTGGTGCATAGTGCTCATATCACTAGAGGGCATCCTATAGCAGCGGGGGGTGCGTGTTGGCGCGCTCAAATCTGCTTCTGTGGTGGTGGTATCGAGGGTCGTATCAGCGGCCTACAATCTCCGCAAATCTCCGCAAATTAGACCGACACCCAGTGTCTTGTGCTGCTTGTTCTCGCCGCCACTGACTCCAATCTCCTGAACTGCGGGTATACAGCAGTAGCTGATGCCACTAAATAGCTGCTGCTGTGAACCCTCCGTTCAGGGGTTTACGGTCTGTGGCGATGAGCCCGGCTGTGACAAATGTTGGATGCCGCTTGGTTCCGGCGCAGATTTCGGACTGTTTTCAGAGGCCGCGACCTTCGATATTTCAGCTCCAGTAGTAGCAAACCTGAACGTGCCAGCACGCACGACACCTCTTGATGGTGTCCTCTACTGATATTAGTACTAATTTTCAGGTTCCTCAGGCGGGAAGGCTGTTTTCTTTCTTTTATGTTGGATTAAAGTATGAGAAAAAGAGCCAGCGTCAACCCCCCTATTCTGCCCCCCCTTAAGAAATATTTTGCTCAGAAACAGAGGCTCAAATTTCCGCAGAAAACAAGAAGATAGAAAAGAAACCCTATACTAAACTCTATAAAACCTGTGCGTGGCGATGAAGTAAGAAACTGAGCCCCGACCCGATATTGACGTTTCATCTCGGAGACCGTACGTACTGCTGACACGCAAGTACACCGGTTGTTCTGTACAAGGACAGCTACGCAGTTGGTTTTGCCTATCGCCCATCACACACCCCCAACTTGATCGATTTGTGTGTTGACATGTGTCTCCCTTCTTGCTCTGTATGATAGTAGAGCACCATCAACACTGCGGGGCACACTATCCTCGTGGTAAGACCATGCGGTGACTCCAGGTGAGTTGAGAGTTTCGAATGGCCTGGCTGTGCCACGAAATGAACGGAAGAGGGTTTGGTCAGTGCCAAAAGGCACTTTGAATCAATAGATGTCGAGGAGCTACCGCTGACCGCATGATGTAACATACCACCCTCCCTTCGACTTCATGTGGTTGCCGCTCAAAGAGGAATGTCCGTCCGTTGTAGTTGTGGTGTCACTCAATTCGCGACATTCGCGTATGAGTTTGAAAGAACACCGAACGAAATCGACTGTTTTCTGGCCAGCACCACCCTCCAACCACCAACTCGCTCGAGCGCTCTCGTTTTGCGAAACCCCGGAAACGCAACACTACCTGAACCTTCTGAAAAGAGAGTTGCCTCTGTTACCCATCAAACCATCCCGTACCGCTATTAACAACGCCAGGGCCTGCACCGGTGGCGACCTACTTTCGACCGAGTCCAACGAACGAAAATCGCAACAGCGACACCACAGCCGCTGCAGCAACTGCAACAGCCCTTGCCGACGCAACGGGAAACAACGGCGTCGGTGAGGGGGCAGCGAGGAAAACCAGCACTGCACCAGGCTCGGGTGAGAACGCCAAGCCTGTTGCGGCCGACGGGGGAGGAGGAGACGGAGAATCAGCAGTTGGCGATCAAAAGTGGGAGTTGTTCGAGGACGACAGCGCCGAGCACACGGCCCGGTTCCGCGGCCGGAAGTTCGTGTGAGTCCGTGCCTTTAAAGCGGCGGCGTCTTCCTGCGTGCCTCCCTCTCTGTCCTGTCGGTCTTGTCTGTCTTGTCTATCTTCTGCTGTCTTCTGCTGTGTTTCTGTCCTTTCTGTCTTTTCAGTATTTTCTGTCTTTTCCGTCTTTCCTGTCTTTCCTATATTTTCTGTATTTTCTGTCTTTTCCGTCTTTGCTGTCTTTTCTGTCTGTCTGTCTGTCTGTCTGTCTGTCTGTCTGTCTTGCCTGTCTGTCCATGTGTCAATCGGTGGTAGTCCTGCCGCACCCCATCCATTCCCTGGTAAAACTCACGTACCCACCGCTGAAGCCCCCTTCCGCACCCGCACTGCTTTCTCAATTGTTATCCACCAACCAGCGGCCGAAAGGTGGAGCTCCCCAAGGGGGTCCATGGGGTCGTGCTTCGCGAGAAGCCGTGCCCGCCGGGGGTGCGTGAGAACAACGAAGACGTGGCGTCGTACTGGGCGGCCGAGACCTCATTCCGGGAAGTGACGGTGAGGGATTCTTCTAGCATTCTTGCTTGCTTCCATCCATGTACCGTTGAGACGGGTATCCCTAAGTAGCTTTGAGAAGAATTCACTTCGTGTCGCTTCGGGCGGGCACAACGAGTCTCGCCTATCTATCGCTGCCAACCTCTTGAGGACCTGGCCGTGTTGGGCCGCAAACTCCGCGGCAGCGAGATCCTCCTAACCCGATGGAGTACGAAGACTGTGGGTTGATTTCCTGACGACGGTTTCACACCATTGAGCCCCTGACACCATAGATCCCTCTCACCAAACGCTGAACGGTCTGAGAATGAAAAAACATTTGTGCCGGTTGGTCCCCAGTTTTCATAAACACCATGTGTCTGGATAGACATCCAGCAGGCCTGTTTGCTATTGTATAGCGAACCCCGAACAGTTTAATGGTTGGTTTGGCCAACCATGGATGCGAGGATCTCACTTTTACGCCATGGCCATCCATCAGGATACCATGATATCTCCCGCCCCCTTTTAATTGTTGAGATATCGAAACGGATCTCGAGACAAAAGCAACAAAATTAACAATGATGTGGTCAACCGTTCAAGACTCAGGGTAAGCCCCCTTCGTACCCCGACGGCCGGCTGACGATGTTCCACCCCTCGTCGACAACAACACAGGTCTGGGGACACGATCAGCCCCGGCAAGAGAGCACCGTTGACCGAAGCCTCGCCTGGCTGGAAGTTTCGAAATCGGTGAGCTGTTTGAACCCCTTGGCCTTGCATGCACCCCCCCGCGTAGCCCTTGCATGTGGTGCACACACAGTAGTGCAAGCCAAAATGGAGCAACATGTTTAGGTTGTGGCCTTACTGCTCTCTCTCTCTCTCTCTCTCTCTCTCTCTCTCTCTCTCTGTCTCTGTCTCTGGTACTACACTCACTTACCATCGCTACACTCCCGTCCCTTCCCCTACCCATCTGCTCGCGTGCCTCGCGGTTGCGCCCGCCGTACCGGCGCAGATCCACGACCCATAAAACCCGTGGAACCCGTATTCCTTGTGTGGAACGAACCTGTGAGACCGACGCCCCGCGCTCTCCTCAACACACGCAACGCTCGCGAGGAGTACCTCTGGCTGAGGGTCGGCAAAGAAGCACCTTCTTTCCTCTTCGATCGCGAGTGATTGCGGGTGCTGCGGTGCCGTCGCGCACTAAAAAGACTGGAGTTTGGTTAAACCCTTGCGCCTGCATTTCGGCATCGTTGTCGTTGTGCGCAGTTTGCGAACTTTCTCGGAGGCGTAACATACGGAAAAAGGGCGAAAGACCACTTTTCACACGTGGCCGTAAGTCTGGAGACCTTTTTTGTGGTGGACAGCGTCGAAGCGCGTTGCTTCGTACACACTGGTTATAAGCAGCGGCACCTATCTGCGTGCCGGCTCCGGGTAGGAACGGAATGGAAGATATCAATTGGAAGATATCGTTCGGCGTGCTTGGCCGTGTCGTGCAAGCTGGGTGTTCGGAACGAAGAAGTAAAGATGGCGTGGTGCACAGCAGTGAAAGGGTTGGAGCCATTCCTCCGGCTGCTCCCTGGCCCGACGGACTTGTTGGCTGCCATCCGCGAATAGAGGCAAAAGAGGACAGGGGCACTCTGTTCCAGGAGTTGACCCCTCCCCGGGGGTCGAGCATGCGAAAGGTTAAGGTTTTTACAAGACATGTGCGTGGCTTGCTCTCTCACGGACGATGACTGCTACTCAAACAAAAAAAAGGAGAACAGTCGTTGTCAATACTGATTACCTGCGCGGACCTAGCACCAAGCTTCCCCCGAGATACCTAGGCGGCCAAGCAGGCCTACAAGCGCTCGCCTAGTTCCCCAGCGCTTGCACCCGCAAGGGTCTCGAAACGGTCTCCCCGGCTATTTGAGGCATGTGAAAGTGCCCGCCTGCTGGCGCGGTGGGTCTTGTCACCTCGCGCGCGGGATGAGTTCCACTGCCTCTTGGTAGCTTCCCAAGAGGCGGTCCAACTCATCCCGCGGGAGATGGCAAGACCCACCGCGCAGGCGGCCTCGTCCACTAGCGCCGACAACCAGGAAAACAGTTTCGAGACGCCCGGGTGCAAGGGGGCGGGGGGAACAAGGTGAGAACTTGTAGTAAACACGCCGACAGCCTCTTTGGCTTTTCTGCTAAAAAAAAGCGACGAGCCAAAGAGGCACGGCGCCAACACTCCCACGACCTTAGTCAACCAGCATGTCTACATGGTAAGAAGAGGAACCCTGTCCCCTACGGCCAAGAACTTCGCAAAAACCAAAACCCCGTGTGCATCTCCCACACAAAACTACGCAATCGCGGGGAACGCAACAACAGCCCTGCCTTCGTCCTAAAAGCACAGCCGGAAGGCAAGAAAACGCCAAAAATCGCGCGCGGAGACCCCCCGAACATAGCTACCACTTGCGGTGCCCGGCGGAGATCATAGATTCTACGGTGATCGCAACGGAAAGGCGAGACAACATAAATCCCCCTCCGCGTCAAACTTTTTTGGCGCTCAGGATACATCCGACAACGGCTCAAGATAAGACAACAAAATAAACTTAGCCGTCCCAGCTACACAAGAAGAAAATGCAACAATAAATTTTCGTCGTTCAGTGCAAAGCACCAATCGGGGGAGGAACAGACAGGCCTCTGGGCATGCCGTAGGAACCACTACGCTAAACAAAAACAATGTGATGAGTCAATTGCGGCAAGATACACAAGATAGCAAAACAAAAGTAATACGAAACCAAAAGCACAGAACAAATTCCTCATCACGCCTACGGCCATTCATCAATAGAAATATCCCCTTCAAACACAACTACCTCATCAAGTCAACCTCCCCGCTGTTTGTGGTGTCTGCAGCAGCAGCAGCAGCAGCAGCAGCAGATCAACTGCAAAAGAACGGGCCATCCCGTTCCATCGACATAGTACTATATGCTACAGCACTTCTCCGGCTAGGGTGTTTCCGCGATGTCTGCAGCAGTACCAGAGCCACCACCACTACCACCGCCACCGACAGCAACGCCTTCAGCGGCCACCCCCCGTCTCCGTTCCCGGCCCGAGATGCTCTGCTTGAACACGAGCGATATCCTCGCGCCGACCTCCTCCTTGGCGACCTTCACGCAGTGCTGGTAGTCCCGCTGGCACCCGTCCGTCATCCTCACGCAGTCCCCGCTAGAGAGGTAGAAGGCGTGCCTCCCGCGCGGGGAGTGGTCCAGGGTCCGGCGTAGGGCGAACTGCCGCGTGTCCCCCACCGACACCACCGACGTGTCCTGCGTCCAGATTGTGCCGACGTCTGGGTCGGAGTGGTATCGCATGGCGCTCGACCTGTTGCAGGGTCGCCACGGACGGTAGGGCAGCGGGGAGGAGGGGGGGATCAGTCGAGGGGGCGTAGAGGGTCATGTTGACGTCAGCGGGGGGGGTATGTGTGCGCGTGTGCGGTCATCCTATACGTGCCTGCGAATGCTGCAGTGTCCGCATGGAGGAGTTGTGCATCGCGCCGCTCTTGCTTTGTGGTGAAACTGGCATCAAGTGGCTTCAAATGCACCTAGATATAACATGGCTGCGCTGCCCCCCCGCAAAACCACGACAACCCTTGAACCCGACAGAGCCACTCTCTCCAAAACAACGCACGACAACAACAACGAGTGTAACCATGCGCACGCTTCTCTCAAGCACGCCGTACGCGAAACTGGGCTTCGCCCTCTTGTGGGCGTAGGAGACTTCAACACAAAACTCACCACCCGCGAGGGACACTGTGTCTAAAAACAGTTCGTCAGAACACGCTTCTTCCTCGCACACGCACGGCGCGTTCTCGGCTGCAAACAACGAGAACGAACGTGCGCGCGCGCGCAATGAGAATAGGCGGGTCGTACCTGGACTCGTACAGGTTAAGCAGGACCCCGTCATAGAGCACTCCGGTCCGCTCGTAGAGGGCGTCGCGAAGGCGGAGCACGTTCGGCGAGAACGACGTAGGCTCCATGACCTTCCCGCTGTAGGCGAAGGGGAGGCCGTCGCTACTCTGCCACGCCGTGAGCCTGGACTCGGAGAGGACCTGCGCCGTCACAACGCATCCGCGCAGGCACATAAAAAAAAAAAAAACGCAGTACAAACGGTATAAAACGGCGGGTACAACGAAGTGGACTTGGTTGTCTTTTGGTGCACTTTCCATTATCTAGCCGGGAGCGTGCAAAGCGCAGTGTGTGGGCGCGTGTGATAGAACAGGCAGGGAGACTGCGTGGTAGTACGGGAGCGGTGACTCGAGCCTCTGTTGAGTCGAGATGGATGTGCCTGCCCACCACAGCGTAGTTCCAGCAGGTCCGGTTGTGGCTTCAGAGAGAATCTGCTTTGCCGCCAACGCTTTGGGCACGCTCTTTGTCACAGAAAAACAACACGAAGCACTCACACAAAACGTTCCAGCGAAATGGGATGCACGGATGTAGATTCGGCGCATCGACAACCAAACGAGTCACTTCTTTCCCATGACGATAACTGCTTGCTAGCGATCCACCCGATACTGGACTACATATGATACGTGTAGAGGAACGTGAAGAGAAACAGTTTTGTGTGGCCTTTCCCCTCTGTGGCCCCCGCCGGCGCGTCCAGAAAGCACACTTGGCACGTGTAAAAACTAACATCCAGCTTTGATGGGGGGATGGTAACACACACAAAATCGCACGATGTTTGCAATCGAAGCGGGCATATAACTCGAGGTGCTGAGCAAGAGCAACCGCTCATGCCCGAAAAAAGCCCTACAGCGCGTCCAAGCTACAGCGAGAGAGAGATGTCACACCTTTCCACCGCCGAGAAGAATCTCGTCCCGTCGGAACGCCACCTCGTCCCTGAAGTCTTCGACTCGCAGACCCTCAAACAGCGACGGAATTGCGCGGAAAGGAAGGTTCTCGACCCTGCTCCGGAGCTCCTCCACCGCCTCGTCGCCTTCCCATACCCCCCCGCCCCCGCTTCCACCTTTCCCCTCCGTCTCTACCGCCGCCTTCGCCCCACAGCCGGGCGCTGCTATCGGCGTCTCTGCCCCCCGCGCGGCCTCTGCTTCGCATGCCTTCCTCTTCCTCTTCTTCTCCGCCGGTGATTTCGAGACTCCTAATCGCTCGAGCGCCCACAGCACGTTCGTCACGTGGCCATCGTCGATGCCGACCTTTGAGGAGGCTGCTCGCGCGACAAGTGCCACGAGCTGGGCGAGACGGCGGTGGCCACCACTAGCGGCGGCACCGTCGTCGTCGTCCGCCGGGAGCCACTGGAGCAAGCCGCACGCCCACACGACGTCGGCCGCCTGGGGTCCCGAGAGGGATTGGTTGGTGCCACCTGCTGCTGCTGGTTCCGCCGCCGTTTCGCCGCCGTCCGCGGCCGCCGGCGAGGACGCTGCCAGGAAGAGGGCCTGCAGCCGTGGGTCCGCGAGGACGGCTTCCCTTGCGGTCTGCCTGGAGACCTGGACGAGAGGCTGCAAGCGTGCGAAATAAGTTGTTGTTAGGACCGGCGGTGCGGGATGGGAGTGGTCGTAAACATTCCGTTGTTCTATGTGTCAAGCGGAAAGGAAGTCTCCTGTCTGTCGGATTAGCTGCTGATGCCGTATCGATGGAAATTTAAACTTCCAGCCGAACTTCTGCACAGCAGCTACAGCAGTATACAGAGACGCTGTTTCATAACAGCACACACGAGCGCGATGGACGCGGAGCTCACTCACCTTCGCCAACCTCAGCAGGGCCTGGGAAAGCAAACCAGGTCTCAGCGCTGCCCTGTGACTGTACGCAACACCGAGGAGGTCTTCATGCGAAGCGTGCTGGACGGCGAGCGCGGCCAGCGCAGCAGCTGTGGACGGCGTCTCCCTGACAGCATTAGCAGCTGCACCAGCTCGACGGGGAGAGCCACTAACGCCTGTTCTACCTCTTCGGCGTCCCTTCCCTCCACGGCGAGCGTGCATCCTCGTTAGCGGCGACGGGCGGTCGTGGGCCGCCGGCGTGACGTCCGGAGGCGCGTGGCAGAGTGCTTGAACTGGAGGTTGCACTGGGAAGGCCGGTGATCGCGCCAGTCCCGAACTGATGAGGACGGCCAGCAGACAGGCGTGAGGGTTCATATTTCTCTCGTGGACATGTATAAGGCAATGCTGGTGCCAAGCGTTAGGCTGGAGCTACAGGAGCGTGTATGTCGCATGCGTCGCAGTGCGGCGAAACAAGATCAAGGTGTTCCAGTGCAACTTGATGGGATTTTTTGTTTGGTTACGCCGCGCGGTTCACCCCCCCCCCCCGTCTTTACACTCTACGCAGGATGCAGTGCGTGTGCGCTCGCAGAGTCACCATGCTTGGGATGAAGCTGAGAATGTTACATGTAGGCATGCGGCGAATACTGACGCTTGGACTTCTCGCAGCCGGGCATGGGCCGTTTCTACTGGCTTCGTCGTCAGCTGTACAAGATCTGGATCCAGCTGCCCAAGATACCTCGTCTACACGGCCGTTGATTTTGGCTCATGTCGTCAATGGCTCGGAAGAAGGAGGGGCTGACGGAATGTGTGTTGCACCAGGAGAACGACTGGGTGATGGTAGTGCTTGAAGCAATCTTGGCTCTTGTGTCTCTTGTGTACCATGTCTATATGGACTGATTCTTGCTGTCGTCTACCATCGCCGGCGGCTGATCTCTTCTTTTTTCTCTTGCCTGGATGATCGATTGCCAGATATTCATGCATTGGCCCCATAGCTCAAGCCTCCAGCTGTGTCCACGTGAAGGAGCCTCTACTTCGCTTCGAGCAACGAAAAATGGTGACTGGTGATAGCGTGACGGGGCACATACAACAGCACGTGAGGTCTGAGCGACGGGACGCTGATACTCTTTACGCAACTCTTTGTTCTCGTCATAGCTTCTAAGGAGAGTAACGAGAAAGAACAGGAATACCTTTTCGTTCGTAAAAGCTCTACAACCCGACGAGAACTACAAGGCGTAAACAAGACTGTCGTGCGGCCAAGCTCCCACTGGAAATACTGGGAGGATCTTGCCATTCGAGGACGTTACCAATCGGGCCACACCACCTTCCATACCATACTGCCGTTACTGGGAGGGCCGCCGCCGCCGCCAGAGAAGGCGGCAGCAGCAGCAGCATGGAACATGGTGGCCCGGTTGGTGATGTCTTCAAATGGAAAGACGCTCCCAGCGTTTCCAGTGCAAGCTAGGCCGCACAGCAGCCCTGTTTACGCCTCGTACTGCTCTTCGGGCAGAGCTTTCAGGAACGAAAACTGTGCAGATCCGGCGCAGGTCTTGGATGACGCGTGCTGGGTTGAAATCCTGGTCGGCAGTCACTGCCAAGGATATGAATTGCTCGTGCAGCTCTGGGTACGGTGCTTGTAACCCCGCGGCCTCATATTTTCGCTCCAGAGCGAGGAATGCTCCGCAACAACCGCCCCTGTTGCAGTCCGACCCAACCGGAGCGTAGGCCTGGACGACTTGTGAGGCCCCCCAGTTTCGGACGTAGCGAGCATAAGTCGGGGGTTGAAGGTCATCCCGCTCTTGTTCTGGCACTCTTCCAGCGCCTTGTGGTTAAGCGGCAATCTGTGTCGTCGTAGCTCCAGTTCCGGGATCAGTCGGGGCAGTCTCCGCTCCCGACAGGACCTTGTGGAGTTGTCCTCCCTAAATACGGAGATTTGAAGGTCTCGTCAGCCGATGTAGTCGCCTGGATCTCCGCTGAACTTGACGAATCCTCTATGGATCTCGTCGCCTGACAAGCCGATGGCCATGATGACCTACTCTTGCTACTCGGGTGTGCAAAGTCTCGTGCAACACGAAGACTCAAACCTGTTATTTAAGCAATTGCACTGCTGTCACTGCCGTCGCTCTACAGTGAAGTAGCTGGCATGTGATGCGATAACGAAAACACATGTCACTATTTACACACAGACGCCCAAGCTGTCCTGTGACGGTTGCAGACGTGGCAACGCCTTCACAATACAGCATCAAACCCATGCTGTAGAATAGCGTCGTTCTTGTACCGCAAGTATTCCCAACGAATTGCCGTGCTCGAAACTACGCTCTACCCGTCCTCACCACTGCACAACAATGTCTCCCCGTGTGCCGATGTTTACCTCTGAAAAAAGACACAACGGACAATTTTCCGCGGAGCCACGCCAATCTACCGCGCGACCTCGAGCCAACTGAAAAACGAAGACCTCGCCGTCGGAATAGAACCAGAAGATGCGTGGGTGTGGGTGAACGTAGCCACCCAACCCCAACGGGATGCGCCTTCACTGACCGTTGTCACCGTTCCTGACACGAGGTGTTCAGACGATGTCCGATCATCCCTCGGGCGCCAGCAACAAGCGAAGGGGGACGTTCTAGACGAGGCTCTGGTCCTAGAGCTAGAGAATCTTGGCGAGGTGCATCGTCGCGCAGGAAGGTCTGGGGTCATACATGAGCGAGCTGACGTAAGATCAGCTCGAGTTCATGAGTGTAAACGAGGTCAATCGCCATTTGGTCCAGGTTTTTGGCTGGAGACGAGCAACAACAATGTTCTCTGCAGCTTACTACAGAATACCATGGTGCAAAAATGATTGAAAATTGCACACCTCGGTACCACCGCTCGTAACATGTTCGCAGCGAGAGCGAAGGTTTGCTGGTACCTGCCACATGCCAGATGCATAGTTGGCAACCCTGCCCCTAACGATCTCTCTCGTACTAAAATAAATATCCAGGCTCCATGAGGTGGCGTCGTGCTACAGCAAGACAGTCTCGGGAAGCGATCCGTCAGGCCTGCAGCAGGGCTGCAAAACTCGCATCGCTCTCTGCAGAGTACAAGCTGCCAGGCGAACAAACACAGAAACGTTGAGGACCGAAGGCGGTGGGGGGCGACCTCGCCTCGATAGCGACCACCACAGGGAAGAGGTCGAGTGCCTCGCTGGAGCTTTTCTGGTGGAGGATGGCCGGGAATCGTGTCTTTCGACGGTCGCAGATAGCACTGTTAGAGATGCGCACTTGACCGTCGGCATGTTTGTCTTGTGCGAGGAATGGGACGTTGACGAAGCGCTCCACCACTTCTCGGCGGCGGCTTCAACCAGTAGACAGCGACAGGAACCCCTACCGGAGGAAGAAGGTAGTAGAGGTGGGGGCGAGTCTGTTCCAAGTCGAGACGGTTTCGAGTGGGGACCGGTGTGGCTACTTCAGGTAAGGGCGTGTTTGCGGCTGAAGATATGCCGTCCCGTGTGTGTGTGGCGGAAACTGTACGCACATCGGAAACGGCTTCGGTGGGCAAAGGTCGTCAGAATAAGGGACGGTACTGCTGTGTGCCAGTATTGTACCGCTCAAGATCCCCGTCTATCTCCCGCTATCACGGGTTGTTGACCTCGTTTTGCTCATGAGCTCTAAACCTCTTCCTAATTCGGAACTTCTATTTGCTCAGATGGTACGGGGAGGCCATCGGACTTGTACTCATGATTCATTGACGGTTGAAACTCAGACCGACGACAATTATATGCAATCGCTTGACCAGTATATGTTCCGCGAATATTGACTCCTCGTAGAAAATCACTTCCAGGCTGTTCAAGGGCGAGTGGACGAGGCATCGATCGGATTTGCAGCAAACGCAACGGCCTTTGGAGAGGCATGGGCTAGCAATCATCTTAGATCCTGGCGCCGGCACTTGGGCCGCAAGTGTTCCGGTATTGGCATGACGGGTGTTTTCGAAGGCGCGGAAAGGTATTATCCTAATACAGACTGCCATCCCGAACTTTGTTGTGCCTTCCCATCTCGCAAGCATTTTTTCGAAGAAGATAGCTGTGTAAGTCAGCCTACAGTTCGGTGATACGAGAATAGAAAGTAGGTCCTCTGATGGTTTTCGTCGTGCCACGTCTGAGTGTTTCACACTCGAGACAGATGTCTATGATGGCACAAGACGACACATTCCCCTGCTCGTCTCCGGGCGCGTGTTCGCGGCCTCGTGTGGACAGGCTCATCATCCTCGCTGGGGCACATGCGAGATCTACCCGTGGGAGCTTCGGCGAGGCCGAACACGTAGCAGATGGGCTTCTCTTCGGCAAAACAGACATGGCCGACCTCCACCTCACCTTTTCTAGAACGCTGCTCCTCCAGGGTGCACATGAGGAAGCCGACGGCCATGCCCGCGCGGCGGAGTATCTGCTTGCAACGACAACCCTACCCTCGTCCAGAGGGAAACTCGAGGAGGCGGAAGAGGAAGAAGAAGAGGGGGAGGAGGAGGAGGAGGAAGAGAGGCAGGAAAAGGCTAGCGATGGAGGCCGCAGAGGCCGCGGCACCAACAGCAGACTATCGCATGACAACTACGGCTCTCCTGCTACTGCCTCCCTTCGCCTCGAGATAGAACTGCTCTCGCGCACCCCGGTTGTGCTAGAGACCAACGAAAGCGCTCAATTGCTACGAGGAGAGCTGCTGGAACTGCTGGAGACCTTGGGAAAGACAACACACAAATATTGGGGATCCATTCCGAGCCCGTTGGGTGTGGGCGTTCGCGCTCAGTTTCTTGCTACATATCAGGTATTGCTTCGGACTTGACGGTTGGTAAGCATCCATAGTCATCGATCCCTATTCCGGAGGTGCAAGTATACTTCTCGACACCATGTGGTGTGTGCTGGTGTACAGAAATGGTAAATGTTATGCCGCCTCTCCCTCGAAATATAACACGTCCTCCTTCGGTTTTTGTGCCGAGCAGCGTTTGTAGATTTTGTCGTCCAACCTCTCAAGTCTCGTTCTTTCGGCAGGGTCTCGACGACAAAGCTGTCGCGACCGCGCTCGCGGCAGCCTTCGACAAAGCCTCCGGCGGGACGCTGAGCTACTACTCGCGCCATCTCCTCCTGGAGAACAGCAGGCGAGGTGGGAAGTCGAGATCGGGCGATAACAAAGGCGCCGTGACGTCGCGGGGGATCGGTGCGAAAACTCAGACACCGTCCAGGCCTAAGACGAGCTCTTCGACAGCTGACATGTCTGTCATCGCCGGCTCACATCCAAACAAGGTGGCCGAGGTCGATACTCCTGGTGAAGATACGGAGGCGGCGGCGGGCCTGGGAGCGGCAAATGTTGGCCAGAACATTCGGGTAGTCAGATTGGGATTTGTGTCGGCGCATTTCAGGTGGCATTCCGTCGGTAGACTAACCATAGGTCTACTGGAGCGCCTCTGCACCAGCCGTGGTCTACAGATTTTCGTGATCGACGCCTCGAGCGGCGGTCGTCACAGGAGCACGGCAGGGAAGCCAACCGCTACCACCGTTCAGGATACCTCTCGAGGCCAGCCGGACGAAGACTTCGTCCTCGAGAGGCTCGCCGCGGCGGGGGCTTCGATCGTGCGAATACAGGCAGCGGCGGCGCCCTCCCCCAGGAATGGTGCCGACGCCACCTCACCAACACGCTTGGCACCAACAACGAAAGTCGAAGGAAGCTCTGGTAGTGGTAGCGGTGGAGCCGGCAGCGATGCGTTGCAGACAGCACGGGAGGCCATCGCCGAGCTGCGGCTCGATGTCCTAGTCTACGGCGACGTCGGGATGGACGCGTTCACCACGGGGCTGGCGCACGGCCGGCTCTCTCCCGTCCAGGTGGCTTTCTGGGGACACCCAGGCACCACCGGGCTGTCAACCATGGACTACTTCGTTACGTCGGACCTTTTCGAAGGGGAGCTCGGTGCAGGCTTGGGTAGCAGGCGACGACTGCGAAGTAACGACGGGGGTGACAGCAGTGCAGATGACGATACACGCTATGTTGAGCAGAGGGAGGAAGCCGGACGCAACCCCGACGGTGTTGGTGATGAGGCCACAGCAGCGGGGGGTGAGGGCGACGGACTCGAGGCTTGGGCAGGAGCCGAAAGACCCGACAGGCAGCACGCGTTCTCGGAGCAACTCGTGAGGCTGGGTGGGCTCGGATTCATCTTCGACGATCCTGTGCTGACGTTTGGGTGGGATTCCGCGGGCGAGGACTCGGGCATCGTGCCAGGTAGCAATGAACCATCCCGAGACTCTTGGAATGGTAGCAGAAACGGGAAGCACGACAGAGGAATGGAAGATAGAAAACAACGTCACTCGGAGAACAGCCCCCCTTCATCCGGCGGAGGCGACGGTCGTGCCGCTTCTTCTCCGGATTTAATGAAGAAGAGGGAGGCTGAGGAAGCGAATCGTCCACGGCTCTACGTCTGCGCCCAGTCCCTCATGAAGATGCACCCCGCGTTCGATGCGGTACTCGCCGGCATCCTGGCGGCGGATCCCCTGGCGCAGATCCTGCTCCTCCGAGACTCTCGCCAACTCCTGTGGCACTCGCGGTTCCGGCGGAGACTTCGGGCGGCGGTAGATGCGGCCGAAAAAAGAGCCAATTTCGCCGCCGTCTCTACGGGTACAGCTGCAGCCCAAAACGGGACCGGCCCGGCGTCGTCGCCGATACGGGGAGGGCTTTGGGGGCGAGTGCGCTTCGTGAGCCCCCTGTCCGGGCGCGAGTTCTTCCGTCTTCAGTGTCGCGCGGACGTGGTCCTGGACCCGTTTCCCTTCGGCGGGGGAGTGACGACGTTAGAGGTGAGTTGTCCGACGATTGTTGGTGTTGGCCGGAGGGGGCGTGGGGGGGGATACTCGTTTGATGTTTGTCGTAGCCCGTAGCCGGTTGATGACACATTTGGGGGCTCTCTGCTTGACGAATAAACACTGTTTTCGGTATGCGTGGGGGCTCGTTGAATTGCTGCATGGTTATACTGTTTGAAGCGCAGACCCTCTCCTTGCAAAGTCGTCGCGGAGCACGTCGTTGTTTGGCGAATCAGGACGAGAGGGGCCTTCCAGGGTAAACATCTTCCCGGAGAAATAATGCTGTACCTACGTTCCTATCTTACCTTCCCGTTCTTGGTGCCTCCGAGCACTCGTCATAGGCAGCCTGAGAGAGAGAGAAAACAGGCGAAGTTGTCCAAACAAACGAGTTCCGTCTTGCGCATGGAGTAGACTACACGTAGACTATAAGCGCGGTGGTTCGTTGTTGCATCAAGCACCTTCTTTCTTGTCACAAACCGACGCGAACAATACTTCCTTGTCTGCCCCCCGCTCGCTGACCGAGCCCATCCAGGCGCTGGCGTGCGGGACGCCAGTGGTGACGGCGGGCGCCCTGCAGAGCGTTCACCGGCTCGCCGAAGGCCTACTTGCCGCCGCGGCCAACACGCAATGCCAAGGCCGGGAAGAGCACCACCCAAAGGACCACAAGGGCGAAGCAGGAGCACTAAAGACGACGCCTAGCGGTAGGAATACCGGCGGTTGTGTTGGTCCGGCAGGGGGCGTGCAGCATGCGGCCGGCGAGGCACCGGCAGGAGGGGTAGCAGAAAATCGTCGCGAAACCACGACAAAGCACCCCGATGAGGGGAGTGGTGGATGCGTGCCAACAACGCGGCACACCCCTGGGGCAGCTGCTGGCACAGCGGGTGCGAGCGACGCAGCCGTGAACACCGACGACGAGCAACACATGGACAACAACGTGCTCGTGCGAAGCCTCGTGGCGAGGTCAACGACAGAGTACATCGCAAAGGCTGTCGCAGTGGCCGCCCCCGGAGCGCTCAAGAGGAAGGTTCGACGGGCGTTGCGCTGTGGTCGCAACGGCCTGCTGCACGGAGGAGGACGAGGAGCAGGAGGAGGAGACGGTGAGGATGGCAGCGACGTGGCGGCGGACTGGGAGAGGTTCCTGACGAACGCCGCCGCGTCGGCCACCACCGCGGACTCTTTGGCACGGAGCGTGTGACGGGTGACAAAAAACATGATCAAGAACAACGACGTCAACGCCGATGCACGCTACACATTTAAGGCGGGGTCCGGGTCTGCATAATAGCAATCAGCGTGCGATTTTACCTTTGGCTTACGAGCGCAAACGAACAACACCTAGGAAGCCAAGTACCAGCGGTATTAGCTACATGTGCGCGATAGCACCCGTGTCGTAGGTATGCTTGCATCTTGGGGTGGGCGGGTGACGAACAGCTAAGCGCACCGCGCCGAGATAGAAAACCCCATGCCCGAGCTCGAGGCAATGCTAAATCACGGTTGGTCTACCGGACAAGATGAGCTATACCTTTTACTTGGGACAAAGGCCACGAAAAGATAATGGACAAGGACATTTATCGCTGCAGAATGCTCCAGCAGCAAGACTAAGAAAGGGCAATTGGTAGGCTGAGAGTCGTAGTAACGGCTGCGCAGCAAAGGTCCGAGGGCATGAAAAACACCTGGTGCGAGCGTTCAGGCCTACGTAGCACCTCCGGCGCGTACTCCATAGCACGGCACCGGGCCAACACGTCTCATATAGAAAACAAAGAAGCCAATTCATTCGGATTCTCTCATCCCCAGGGTATTCAATAAATCGTACAAGACCGACAAGCAACAGCCGAAACTACATCCGAACAGAGTGAAGCCGATGCTCCTTGCCTACTTCTCTCCTCCCGGCTGCTACAGTCACGACAAGACGACGATGGCGTTTCAACCTTCACGCGGGCGTGGCCTGATCAGAGCAGCCGTGTGGCTCGCGCCGCACGTGATGTGCGCCACCTCCACCCGCGACAAAGGCTTAACGCTCTCCGGCTGATTCCGGGTTTGCGACTTCCCCCCCGTACCGTTGCCGAGGCAGTACGTGCCACCTGACCCGATTGTATACAACGCTCCAGTGTCTTCAGCGCGCCGATAGCAGGGCGCGCGCGTGGGGGGGGGGGTGCAGAGGGGGACACCAGAGGGAAACGGTTGAATATATACTTTCGCGGGTTCTTGTGGGAGACGACAGCAGTGGGGAGTTACGGTATTTTCCCGGCATGAACCGCAGCCGTTTCATGTATTGGACGTCCACCTGCCAAATTTACACCTTGTGCATCCCAAAAATGTGTAGCACATACAATACAATACAATCACTGAAATACTAAGTCGAAGGGGGTGCATTCTTTGTTCTTCCGCCGTCGGAAACAAGGGTCGTACAGTATCTGCGTAGCCGGGCGTGCCGTTCTGAACATTTACGGCCTCAGCGCTTACGTATGGCCTACACACTGTGAGGAACAACCAGTCGACAATCCACGACGATCGAAAAGCATCCACGAACGAAACAAAGGGGAAAACAGACGAACACCTAGGAGGACGTATCGAATCTACCAAGCAGCAGCAGCAGGGTTCAACAGATATATTACGACGGGCGTGAAATCAGCCTTCCAGCCTGTATTACCTGTGATCGCCGACGTGTACCACTTCCCGCAAGCGGCGTAAACAACCCGCTGCCCGTCCAAGGCAGACATCCACTCCGGCTCCAGTGATCGCTGCGGTGTTGCCATCGTGCGTTCGGGGCAACCGGCAGGGACAGGGGGACTGAACAACATGACAACCAATTCATCAACACCATACCATCGCCGGATCTCGCTCTCCAACACATTAAACAATTCGCGAGAGTTCTGGAGGAATTTCTCTCGGGCGCTGAGAGCGCTCCATTTCGGCTCTCTCGGCCTCTCACAGAGCTGCATTTCCGATGTTCCGGGGTCTCCGGGATATTTCGGGCGCTTCCCTATTCTTCATGGGTGGGTGTGTTCTCAGTCTGCGTCTACGTCGCTCGCTCTTGGAACCTTTGGCCCGTTTCCTCTGCTCCCCGTCCACAACGCATCAAATGTCATGCCAGTCTCTCTCTTTCGGCTCTAACACACCAACCTGCTGTCTCTCCGCTCTCACATGCCGGGCTCGCATTTTTTCGGGTGACATGTACTCTGCTCTGTACATTCGAAATTTTTGTTCTTCTGTTTTGCCGCGTTTCAGTTCCTGTGTTTCAAAGACTTCGTTAATTCCGCATTTTTCATGTCTTCTGGCTACATAGCTCGCTCGCGGAACCTTTCGCCCCTTTCCTCTGCTCCCCCATCGATCCACAACATCACCATTCGTCCACACAGCCTGTCTCTCGGCTCTCACACCCCAGTGTCCCTGTCGGCTTCCACACATCGAACACACCTTTCTCGTCTCCTTCAAAATTCCGAGCAATCATTTCAACTCCGCAAAAATTAGACGTCTTCGCAGTCCGCATGTTGTACATTTGAATTCCGCACACACAGACCGCGAAGCGATGATACAGCTTGCTGCTGAATGCACCAATCTATTACTCAGTTGTTACACGATGAACGACGAGTAGACGCCGGGCGCACTTCTGGCGGTGAGATTATTTTCATGTTGATATTGTGTCGGTGGCACGAATGAGTACCTCTCCCTCTTTCTGCACCGAGCGGTCTTCTTTTTCTTTCACACAAAATTTATAAGTATCTTGGGAATCAATCTACTGAGCGGAGCGGCGAAAGCCGCCCGATCCCTTGTATTAGGACTGATCGCAGAAAAGTCCGGCGGTTCCACGCCCAGCTAGCACCGAAACTACAACTTCTTAAACCACCATCACCACGAACACCACGATGAGCTTGCCCTTCACCTCCGCCCCAAATCTCACCTTCATGCCCCACATGTACAGCTTCCCGCTTTCCGTTACGGCGGATGCGTGGTTGTAGCCCGCTCCTATTGACACCACCTGTGACACAGCATACATACAGCAGCACGTTGGCCGGACGTAGAGGGGGGGGGGGGGAAGGCAGGCGTCGGGATGACATCTTGACGCGCGACAAAAGAAACGTTCCCAACGAGTAGCTATCCCTACCCTATTCCTACTTCCTGACACGCCAACAACAGGTGGCTTTCCCTTTCCAGGAGGACAACCCACCGACCAGTAAAGCAGTGCGACAGAGACAACAGCGTATAGCGGCACTTCCTCCCAGTCGCACTAAGCCCGTGTGCCAACACCCGCCAGCTCGGCGTACCCACAGACCAACCAACCACCTCGCAGCCTCCACACCATACCCGACGCTATTCCATGCGCTCGAAAAGCGCACAACAGCAAGCACAAGCGACGCTGTCATTGGAGCGCTGCTCTGTCTTTTAGAAAAATACATAACACAGAAAAGAGTACTACCCGTTCAAAAAAAAAAAAAGTCAAAAGGGGATCTGAAGAGTCTAGTTTTTTGGCGCACCTTCTCGTCGACGAGAGCGTCGATGGTTCGGGGCAGCACCTCCGCGGCGTAGACGTCCATCGTCAGCCCGCCCCCGAGGCCCAGCTGCCCCTGGTCGTTCCTACCCCACCCCAGAACCTCGCCCTCGCTCGTCAGCGCCAAGGCGAACGCGTGTCCCGCCTGCAGCAGGAAAAAAAAACGAAAAAATGGGAAAAGCTTAAGCAAAACAGCAACAGCGGCGGCCGCGTGCAGAACCAACTCTCTCAAGAACATGGGCATAAAAGAACAAGTTGTCTTCATGCGGTTCTCATGAAGCACGGCAAAAAAACAGCGACGACAACTCATGGATAGCCAGAGTGCCATAAAACTGAACACGGGGGAAGGGGTGGTACCTCAACGGGTACTAGTCTTGGTCTTTCTTTGATGCTATTACTACGTATATCTTGTAGAAGTCGACTTCCTTGTTTCACCACACCATTCGTTTTTACTCCTCCTCCAGTTCGTCTTCAGCCCCCTTCTTCGACACCTACCCCCCACCCCCGGCAACTGCACGGTCAATCAATGGCCTAACCCATACGGCCAGCATGCTTACCGCACCCCCGCTCCTACTCTCTCCAGTCCCCTGCCAAGAACAGATACACCAGACCCCCCTCCTTCAGTATAGTAGGAAGGAACGATTGGCCATCGGTGATCGGTCCTGTGGGAACAACGCTCCGTCCTCTCGAGGACGCGTGGTCAATGGTCTAGCCGCTAAGGCATGCAAAACATAAGAGTACGCTCCCCCCCCCAATCTGTCACAAACCTGCACGTCAACGATGATGTGCTCCTCGAAGGCTTCTAGCGGCGCCGGCGTCAGCTGGTCCTCCGTGCCGCCGTTGCCGCAAAGCCCGTACTCTCCTCGGCCGCACGTCCACACCTCCCCGTCCGTTGTGAGGAAGGCCGTGTGGCTTCCCCCCGCGCTTACCTTGTCCACCTGGGAGGGGCGAAGACGGTGGGCGGGGAGGGGAAGGGGGCGGCGGCGGCGGCGGCGGCGGCGGCGGCGGCGAAACATGTTTATCAGAGAAAGGGTGGTGCAGCAACAAGAGAAGACCGTAGCAGACAGAGGGGATTGGCTGCATGTTCTTCGCTCTTGACGCAAGCAGGCTCTCTTCTGGTATACATCTGCACAGCAAACAATTCGTCATCAACTCTCAACAACATAGCGAACGATGGACGTGGGCGACCTACGGTCTTTGTCTCACGAGCGGTAGCTTCAGCCAGAGACAAAACACCCGCGTGGAAGGTTTGCATACGTAGTAAAAGGAAGGACCTTCGATGTGCGGACAACCTTTACTTACTGTCAGCCACCCCGGCCGCATTTAATGAGTAACTTTTCGCAAAGTAGGAAGGAACCATTGGCCATCGGTGATCGGCCCGGTGGGAACAATGGTCCGTCCTCTCGAGGACGCGTTGTCAACGGTCTAACAACTACGGCATGCAAAACATGAGTACGCTCCTCCCCCCTCCCCCGCGCGGCGCGATCACCTTAGCGCCGACGCCGCTAAGCGTTGTGATCTCGGTAGGACTGGAGACGAGGAATTTTTCGTCTTCCAGGTTGCCCAGTCCGAGCGCTCCTGCCCCGTCCCACCGCGAGCCTCCCGATCCCCAGCTGTAAGCAACGCCCTCGCTGTCTACCGCCACGGAGTGCTGCTCCCTGTTGGCGTACGAAAGGAGGCGTTCTTGGTTATCGCTACAGTATTGTAAATATCATCTATCGTTGTCGTTGAGTTTGGTGCTATTTGGCTTTGTGTTTCGCATGTCTCCGTGAGCGGGGGGAGCCTCTTGAGGGTTGCCCGCGGTAGAGCGACATCACACATCGACCCACACCCCCAATGGTGCGTGTGATACAACAACCACACGCCTTGCAATCTGTTCCCTTCGACCCTCAGGGATAAGAAACGGCCGGCACACGACCTCCCGTCAGGAGCGACATCCGTCGACGTGTACCAAGCACACGTTGAACCGCCCCAACCAGACGACGAAGAAAGCCCCCCCCCTCCCCTCCCCGGTGTTTGCCATCGGGGTTTGGGTTTTCGTCGCTTGGCAACGACGTTGTAAAACAAGCCCCCCACTCGGTGTTTGCCATCGGGATTGGGTTTTCGTCGCTTGGCAACGACGTTGTAAAACAAGCCAATTCACTTCGTGAACTCGGCAACCAGGTTACCGTTTTTTTTTTTTTTTACCTCTGTTTTTTTTTTTTTGCGGTAACCATAATGGTGGTCGAGTAGATCATGTTGTGCGGGGTCGAGAAACCTCACTCCGCGCAAGGGGGGATGATCGCACCACGTTGTGTTAAAATGGTCAAGCTTCCTCGAGGCAGTTACACAGTGCTTACAACTGTCTCTGGAAGTGAAAGCACCAGAAAATAAATTAAGTCATACGTAGCTGTCATCCGTACGCAAGGAGGTAAGCACAAGATGCCGAACACCCTTAGCAGGATGCAGCTCACCCTTCATGCGACTCGCCAAATACCTCACGGCGCTTCGCGCTTGGTGATGTGAGAGCCTGGTCCGGTGAGAACCCGGCGTGCTCCGTCCCGGCTTTGTAGGGATGCGAGGTCAATGGTCAAACGACTACGGCATGCACGACTATGAGTACACCCCCCCCCCCTCCCTTTCTTAAAACAAAGAGAGACATGCAGAAGTTGAATTGGCAGTACAAGGTAAGTAGAATGTCGGACGATAGACTACCAGCCATGGTTGACAACGCAGCTTGGGGAAAAGCGACTCCAGGGAAGAAGGGAATCAGATGGGACAAGGTGGTAGAGAAGGTTTGGAAGGAGATAGGAGACGAGGAGGAGACGTTGGACACGGAAGGGTTCGGGGGGTTCAAGACGAAAGTCAAGGAGATGCTAGAAAGTAGGGAGGAGGCAACCCTTCGGAAGAAGATACGAAGCGAAGACCACTTGGAGATATACGGGAAGTTGAAAGAAGGGATAGGGATGAAGACGTACTTGGACGGCCCCATGGACTACGCGAAAAAGCTGAAATTGCAATTTCGAGTAGGCGATCTGAACTTGCCAGAACGGAGGAAGAGGTATACCAGCCGAAGGAGAGAGGAAGAGGAGGATAGACACACATGACCATGTGGCAAATCGGAGGAGAGTAGACCCCACATAGTTGGGGAGTGTGAGTTGTACAAGAAGGAAAGAGAGGATCTCGAGGAGGAAATGAGACAGAGAGGGTGTGACATGGACAAGTTTGGTAAATTAGACAACAGCGAAAAAACGATCGCGATAATTGGGGATAGATGGTGGGCACAAGAAGCCCTAGAGGACGGGGATAAGATGTGCAAGAAATTTTTATGGAGTTTGTGGCAGAAACGTAAAGAGCTCCCAAATGTCGGTGGTGTCTCGAGTAGGTGTAGGAACGGTGCTCCGTCTCGAAAGGGACGCGTGATCAATGGTCAAATGACTACGGCAAGCAACAAATGAGTACGCCCCCCCCCCCCCCCTCCCCGCCGCCACCCTGTACGCCCATCACTTCTCGTTCGTCCTCTCACCCGCATGCCACCGAGACCACATCGACGCCCTTGAGCGCCGGGACCTCGGTCATCTTGTGCCGGTTCCTCCCGTCCACGATGCCGAGACCCAGCAACCCCTTCTTGCTGTTTGTCCCGACCGTCAACAGCTTACCCTCGGTTGTAACTGCCACACACGGTCGGGTTTTTTTTTCCGCAGAACAAAAGAAACAACAATTGTTGCAAAATATCACGTCAAGTCAAAGAGGTCGAAGGGGTGTACTCTCATGTAAACGAATGCCGTAGTCGTTGGATCATTGACCTCGCATCCTTACAATGCCGGGACGGCGGAGCGATATGCCGGATTCTTGCCGGCCGAGGCTACGTTTCACGAGGATGAACCAAAACTGATCAGGGGGGGGGGGGGGGGGAGGGGGGATGTGAGGTCCGGGAAAAAACTTAAGGGAACGCCCCTCCCGCCAAGTCATCCCCGGAGATCTTGGCTGACGAAAGGTACCCTACCGTACCGCAGTTGCCAAGAGTAGGTAAAACACGAAACATTGCTTGCTCTCGAACACGGACGCTACAGCAATTCTGACAAATACATCTTGATCCCGAAGAGACCCGAACGCAAATTCTACCATGCATCTACCTCGCACAAAGAAAGCGAAGAAACGACAACACATACAAGCCAAACCCACGCAAAACCGAAATTTACCGAGGTAAAAAAAAAAGTGGTTGTACCCTACCACCCCCGCCTGCGACGCTGTTCGGCGTCGCGGGGCTCGGCTCTCACCCAGGGCCGTGAACTCCGAGCCGCAAGAGACGGTCCTTGCCCCCGACGCCTCGAAACCGGGAAGAGGGGTGGGTGTCGATGTCGCCTTCTCACGCCCGAGGCGGCCCATGAGGGTTTCTTTGTTCGGGAGCTGCATCGGCGTCGGCGGGGGGGGGACAGCGATAAAAAAAAAGAGGTGGGGGGGGGGGATAGAGTCTGAGGAAATGCGACAGAAAGCAAGACGCGGAGGAAATCAGAAAAGAGTGCGCGGAGGGCAGGGTGTGACATCCAGTGTGGCGGTGATTGCTTGCCGCGCGTATTACCTTCGCATCAGGATTCTTGACCCAAGCTGTTGTCAAGCCTTTGTTCGACTGCCTCTTTGAAACCCAAAGAATCAGCCACGACTCGGCAACTACAGCAGCAGTTCTACCGCTCGCCTATGTAGACCGGGATCCCGCTGCAAGGCTTACTTTTTCGCTCTCGATTCCCAGTTGCCCCTTGGTGCCGTGCCCCCAAACCCGCACACCAAAGTCAGCACCATCACCACCACCGCCGCTATCTCCGCCGGTACCGGCGGAAGACAAACCTCTACTGAGAAGGACCCATTTACGCCTGTGCGTATGTAGCAGTGGGGACGAACGGGGGCGGGCGGTGAATAGACAGACGACAGAGAGGGGGGCGAGGAAGAAGACGATGAGTGGGTGGGCCGTTGGTGCAAAAACGGGTGTGTTATCTGTTGGTGTCCACACGTGTGTAGTCGGAGTTATGTAAGGACGTTTTTTTCATGTTCCGTGGATGAAGGGACCTAACTACCTCATATGGTAGATTTTGGATTGAGTTGCAGTGCCCCCAAGGACACGCCGGCCTGCTGTGTAGGGCACTCTCTTCTATTCCTGTTTCATGCCCTGAGAAACTACAATGCAAGCCATACACGAGACTCGCTCTCGCTGTAGTTCACACCATTTCGCGTGTTTTCGTGCTGTAGGACATATTTTGCTGGCGGAAGCGAGTCTTTTCTCTCGCTTCCTTGTCAGGGGCACGCAAGGGATCGTCGGTACATAACTGCGCACGCCCGAGGACCGCCAGCCACCCGTGGCGCGTGTGCTTGACTCTAGCAGTTGCCCTACACCCTGGGGACATATTCCGCGCAAAGAAAGCCTTCGCAAGAAATGCAAAAGAAAAATGTTTCGTATAAACAGGAAGACTTTTGATGCCTGCCCGACGCACATATGTTCCACAGACCATGGTAACACGAATACGTAAGAGTGATAGATCAAACACAGTGGATTGCAGCAGTAGGACCTGCAGCAAAGACGCCACTAAATAGCCTAAAAGCACACACTCAAGCACACGCCAAAAGTCAGTGCGAGAAAAAAAATACCCCGCACATGATGCAAATTCCAGGCAAGTTCTGCAGGTTGTACGCACAACCGCGTGGTGACGACGTTTGGCATGTATGTCCTCTTGCGTCGCCCCCGGGAGACAAGTCACCTAACTCCTGAAGGGGAGCCTTGTACAGGTATACCCGGCTCTGAGGGTACAAGAACACTGGCATAGAGCTTCTTCCTTGCAAGGGATGCCGGCGTACGCCAGCGAAGATGTCGGGACAAGTTTCGCAGCAGGTGGAGTAGTCATCCTAAATCGGGGAGGGAAGCTGCTGGCACGTGCAGAGAGACAGCACGTCCGAGGCCAACGAGAAGATGGTTAGGGCGTTGCTCCACCTTCTCACTGTCGTTGACGGTGAAACGTGCTGTCTCTCCACACACGTGCCAGTACCCTGCCTCACATCCCCCCAATTTTGGATGACATCTCCTGCGAAACTCCTCCCGACATCGTTACGATCGCCCCATGGGAGAAACTCTAAAGAGTATGTTCGTACAGCCTCTTCCAAACTTTGTAACGCTTTCAAAGCACGTGTGTAGGGGTTCCGTAGGGCGGGGAGGGGGGGCTTGGTCGTGATCGAGGGTAGCGGTACATGCTCGTGCGGCTCATGCGGTGCATGATTACCGAGGGGAGCTTCTTGCCCAGAAGCACGTGTGTTCGCCGCTACATTGTTGGTACTGCTGTACAGCAGCAGCGGTGCATGGGGTACTACACCGAAAGCACTTACGGTAGATTTAGCCGACGGCGAAGCTTGCCGCGGGTGATGTAAGATATCACACCCCCTCGACCGAATTTCACACGGTAAACTGACTATTTACTATTTACTCCACGACGAAGACGACACAAAATTCAACGATGATTTTGGAAAGGAACCCTCGGCGAGACGGTTCCAACCTTACCCTTTTTGAGCGCTCTGTCACTCTGTTGTTGCTGGAGAACCATCGAGCTTTTTAAAATCGGTCCTGTGGTATCCAATGTCATGTCACCTACGATACGCATACGGTGCAGCAGCAGGCCTTGCTCTCCCGCAAAACAAGCTGCGGAAGCTCCCCCCATGCTATTCATAGCGCTACGCATGTGCATATCTATGTGTGACCGATCCCTGATGATCAGCATACGATGCCGAAATGATGTTCACATATCATGCACCGCATTTTAAACTCAAGACCAACAGACAAAGGTTAGACTCGGGAGGAGATACCAGGGCACGAGAGATGAGAGAGGAGACATGGAGGGTAAAGTCGGCGGTGCAACTAACTTTGAACTGCCAGATTTCGCTCGTGAGCACACATGGCTACAAACCCTGCCAACACCTGTTGTAGGTGCTACGCTGCAACTGCGGTGCACGAGGAACCAGGAAGGTACTGTACAGCGGTAGGCTTCTTGCGGAAGGGAGGAAACACCCCGCTTGACAACCGCACACAGGGGACTCCAGAGAGATGCAGCATATACTACATATCTATTGCTGCTGGCTGCTTCCCGCCAAAGTAGCACTGACGGCAAACAGCAAAACAGCAACGACCAGTTACAGACCAAACCGAGGCTTCGCTGCTGGTGCTGGATCGCCGTCATGAGAAAATCAACCGTCGAGCCAAGCTAAGCAAGCACCTGCTGCTGTGTGCAGGACGTTGCTGAACAAGAACTTGCGATTTCCAAAACGCGTTCTAGACCATCGTCGTACCTCAACAAACTGCAGCCTTGTGCAGGTCGCTGCGCCACGCATCTCAAAGAAGTCATCATGGGCGCCATGGGTGTGTCACACAACACAAGCGCGAAGATGTGTGAGAGTGTGAGGGAGCCAGCAGGCCCTATCCGACGAGCGGCTAGAAGGGGGCGCGCGGCTGGTACAAGGAGTTCGCCTCCGTGGACGCTCACATCTGACAGGGGACAGGGGCTGGATAGCGAAATACGCCAAACATGAAACAGACACTTTCCGGTTCAAACGTTCAAACCGACTTCAACACCGCCGATGATCAATGCATCTAGGAGTTGTTCTTGAACGAACAACGGAAATTCTAGAATGTGTGCCACGAGGGGAAGGAGAAAGCATTTCAGAAACTGCTCTCTCTACCTCACTACGCTTGTTCCACGCCCCCTTGGAATGGGCGAGAGACGTCACCCACTCTTTGTAGGCTTCGTAGATGTCTTGATTATGCACTTGGAAGTACATGGTGCTTGCCATCGGAACCGATCTCGTGTCTTGGGCACCACCCACCATGGACTAAAGTTGCGAAGGAATCGCTATACCTCCAACGCGAACACTTTTGGGCTTGCTTGGGGCACACGTTACACGTCTGTTTGTCCTGTGTCGTACCCAAGACAATGCTTGCTACATAGTGAGTCGTTGCGTGACGATCGACGCGCACAACAAGGAGTAGGTGTATCACATGGAGATGATCAGATGTACGGCATTCAACAGAGCCCCCCAAAGAATCCCCTCTCATTCGTGTTTTTGATTTACTTTATAGTCTAGTAGGCTTCGTTGCAAGCAACGTTCAAGGACACTCGTCCCCACGTCTTCAGAAAGCACGACTTTTCTGCCTCGCTTGCACGCATGACGGCCAAAGGGGCGCCCGAGATCCTTCGCTACCGTTGGTTCCGAACTTTTTTCCCAAACAAATACGAGCAGCTCCAACCGGTGGAAGCCCCCAACCCTCGAGCCGCTGGACAATCGCCGACAGCAGTGCCGACGCACACGCCCTTCGCCGACATTTTTCCACGGTACACGCGCGAACCTTGCTTCTCCAGCACGAGCCGGCCTCTGCCTTCCCTCTACGCACAAAAACACCAGATAAAAAAACAACGACAGCCGCCTCACGGCAGCATCACCGGACGCATGTAGAGACAAAACCAGACTAAAGACAACCAACAGAGACGCGCAACCCCAGCGAGCACACCGACAGAAAGCACGACTCTGCTGTCATTGATATTGGAACTGCTAGCAAGTGAGTGGGTGTGACTGCCTCTCTCTCTCCTTGTTACTGCTTGGCGGCTGCGTCTTGCTTGGCGTAGTACGCGTCGATCTTGATGGCGTCCTGCTTGGTCACGGCCTGGTAGTACACGAAGGCCGCCGATGCGCCGATGGCGATGCCGGTCGCCGCCTGCTTCCACAACATGCCCAGCACCTTCATCTCCGCGGGTCCCCCGGCCATGGTTGATATATCGTTGTTGTTGTTACTTCGCGTACCTGACACGCGGAAAACAATCCAATGACATGCACCATGCAATCGCCGAAGGTCGATATGTTGCGTTATTGATCACCGTCCGTTGGTGTAAGATGCCAAACTCGACAAAAACGGGGAGTTGCGTGAATGCTACCGAGGACAAACGGTTGCTCGACTAACGTGGAAAAATAAAGGAGGACACTCTGGGACCAATTGGGCCTGCCTACCCTACCACGTAGGGACGGGTGGGTCGGCACCCAGTGTTTCTTCACTGCGGGCAACCGGTGAGTGCGGGAACGGCACACAGGCCTACTCAATCAGACGAGCAGAATATCTAGTGCCTTGCGTCGTTGTTTGGACGAGAAAGAGCAGTCACTATGGAGGTGAAAAATTAAAACCGAGCGCGCCAACGTTGGAGCGGTCATATGCATATGTAGGAATGTTGTGCTTCCATCGCTGCACTCAAATCATGTGTCGTTCGTCGTTGCATCATGAAAAAACGAAGAGCGACGCCCATCCACCCCCAGTAAATTTACCAAGCTACCCAAGGCGCCGGCTTTGTACAGGCATGAATTTTTTGTGCGAACCAAGTCCATTGCTTGCCGCTCGTTTGCGCATCTAACTCATGTTCCTTGCGAACTAATTTGTGTGCCCGGCTGCGTCAAGGACGCGTCGAACTAATATGTAGAACATTGTGGTGCAGTAGTAACTCAACACACCCCGTGTGTCGTCTTCACGTAAGCATCGACAATCCCCCTAGAGAAACCGAGAAAAATAAAACAAAGAGAACTAGCGGTGAGGAACGTCACAACCGCCGCACCATCGATGTTAGCCGACGGGATACGAAACAAGGGTCAAGGGGACTCTGCTACGGACAGCCGATGATGCCTGAAAGGCCGCAGAGATCGCTACGCTAATGACGGCATCATTTGGATGAACACGCCTGGGACACCTGTCGACACCTGTCGTGATAAGTACGAGTACCATCACACTTCACTACTGTGCACGCACAAGAGGGCGTGCTGCGGGTGGGGGCTGTACTGAATGCTGTCGGCAGTAGCGGGGTGTAGAAGAAGAGGGCTGGCTAACGTCGACTTTGAGAAGGAGTGCACAGAAGTACAGAGTCAAAGGGCGGGGTAATCTGTAGACCGACACGAGACCGCATAGACTACATTGCCGCGGTAGAAAGTAGTGCCATCAGGTCGACACCCTCGCAACCACTTACCGGTATGATCTTGTGAAAGGATGGCAAATTATTGCTCTGCACTTTCGGCTTACATTCAGTGAGTAAAGCGCAGGCGCAGCTTTGCGCTCGAGGGGAGCTTTGGCCTATAGGCAGACAAACGTGCCTCACTATTAATAGTCTAAATACTTAGCGACGCCGAGGGTTGTTGTCGTCCAAGAGAGGTACATACCGCACACAAGGCAAACTGTTACCGTGTGTGTAGCAGAAGACATTCCAAGAATTTATTCCGCTTGTCGAATCTGCTTCACACTTTCGCGAGCACTAGAACAACATCCTTCCACGACAGGCGAAGCGCGGTATCGCTTTCGCCTACGGAGTATGGTACGGCGGTACAGGTCGGACACAACCTAAAAGGCTAAAAGTGAGTGTGTGTGTGTTTTTCGGCAACGACGAGAGCTGGGGATTGGAGGGGTCTGGCGAGCTCTGTGCGTGTCTCTCTCCCAGGCAGCCAAACAAGTCGCATCCTCCACCGCCAGCTCGATACATAAGCAGAACCATCCGGCATTGCTGTCGGCAACCGCGACGGCAACATGTACTTGGAAACCAAGGGCAACACGCCCAACAGGGACATACGGGGTGTTCGTGTTCGCCGACGCCACCCGAGGAGGCACGCAAAACATCAACATCATCAGTGGTAGTGTTGTTCGACGAGTTTTTGTCGCACTGCGCAATACAACTCTCGAACAAGACGGCACGAGTCTTGCACGTCATCAACTACGCCCACATGCTCACCTAGTAGAGAAGAAAGAGGCTGTGTGTGTGATGCGCAGCACGACATCGACCAACGTTGCTGAGTGCCGCGGTGATTCACGGAGCCTCCGGGCGAGGAGGGGTACCAATACTCACTCAAAGAAACACGGAGCTCCCCAAAGCTCCGTTTTGTGCTTGATGGGTCTCTATATGGTGCGGACAACCAGTGCTTATCTCGCTGTGTGACGTGCTACCCACTATCACACACGTTGCCCACTGACGGCGGTGGTGCTGCCCGTTGCTTCAAAGGCTCGACATCTAGAAGCTTTGGGGAAGCAGTGAGCCACCTTCGTGTGTCCAAAAGCAAAGAGAAACGAGTGCGTCTCTTGCCGCATCTGCAGCCACCGCTGAGCTGCCAAGCTACTGCTGCTGTTTGTCGGCAGAAAGGTGGTAACCATGCCTCCTAAGCACAAAGGTTTCAACATGAGGTCCAAGTCCGGGTCCTCTGCCAATCCGCACCGTAGCACGGATGGCCTCAAAGCCAATGGCGGCAACCTTCGGGACAAGGTGAGTCGGCAGCCAATGCAAGCGGATGATTCGAACTTTGGGTGGCTTTGGGGATATATACGCACACATGTGCTACACGTCTACAGCTGTGAGTGTCCTGGTTGTTGCTGTCGCGCGTTGTTGGTGTAGGACGCTTCGCTTCCCCTGGCGATAGCCCTCACCAACCAACAAGAATAGAGCTCGTGACCAAGTGCTCTGTGGAATCAACGTTGCTTATTACGTAGTCAAAACTGGTGTATCTCAAAGCATCGCTCCCATTGTTTGTACACCGTTTTGCCCGAGGAATACATGCACTGCGGTAGGAGATGATACAATAGCCATGTGGGGCGGATTTCATGGTTTTACAGACACCATGGGTGGCAGAGCGGCGCTATCGAAAGGTTGTCTTGGCTTTCTCGACGGTCTATTTCATTTGGCGGATCATCACCACACACGTGCAACACTGCTGCAAGCCTTCGTTCCTCTCACTGGAGGCAATAGATGACCTGTTCCCATATCGATGCAGTGGTTCATCGAGTGCTGTAAATACATGAATACGAATACCAGCTGACACGCAATCGAGAGCCCCAAACGCGAGGCGTAGCAGGTGCCGTACACGGCTCCAGGCACCCGGCTTGTGATGTACAAGGGTACATCTCCAAACATCCCTACTATCGTATGCATGAGACGCAAGATACACATGCTGCACCACCTCCTCGAACCACCGCCTCTTGGAACTCCGTGTCAGCGGCGGTGGCCAATTGGCATCGGCAGAAACACTCAGCTGTTGTTGGTACTACTGAGCACTTGGATTCCAGGTGGTTCGTAAAGGTGACAATCTTCGTAGGAAATGCATATTCACATCGCCACGGCGGTACAACAAGTATCCGTCGATTCATCTCGATGATAGCTTATCGCTTCCCCCGACGACCCCCCTCCGTGCAATGAAACCTATGCAACCACAGGCGACGATCAACCGTCTCAACATGTACAAGGCCAAGGGCATTCGGGACAAGAAGGGGAAGCTAGTCGGAGGAGCCTACATGATGAAGAACCGCTCCGGCGATCAGGCCATCACGGCCGAAACAGGTGGGTTCTCCCTCGTTCTTACCCGTGGGCCCCGTCCGCGCCAAACCCGCGGGTGCGTGTAAGAAATGCTTGGGCGAGTTTTCGTGCGCGGAAGAAAATGTATCGGTGTAACTCGCCCCTTGGGGCTCTGGTGTGACTGCATGCCCGTTCACAACGACGAGGAGAGCGCCACTGCTATATTCGCGCGTTTCTTGACTTAGGTTTGCATGTTGCGCTGCAATATAGCATGCAATTGCGAGGAATAACTTGTGTGTCGGCGTATGTTTCTCGTCTACCCTCTTGGCCTCAAACAGGCCGCGTGGCCCCCGACCGGAGATGGTTCGGCAACACCCGAGTCATCAAGCAGGAGGAGCTTGACAAGTTCCGCGAGGAAATGAGCACTAGGTGAGCAGGGGGTACGGGGTGTGGGCGAGGGGGGAAGGGTTGGGGTGGGCTGGAAAGGGTATTCTGTTCGGTCGCAGAGTAGTAGTGCGACAGGGGGTTGAAAGTTTTTGGATGTCACCCCGTGACGAGCATTGAGTTGCGGCGGCCACACCCATGGCAAAGTGGCAGGGCTATTTAGTAGCTCCCTTTGTCGATCTCTGTCTGTGGCTTGCCGCCCTCTCCTTCCCCCCTCTCTCAGCCTCTGTATGGTTTGACAGCGGTGGTGGCGAAGGTGAAGGGCACCCCCTTGGTCTGTAGTTGTCGCCATCTGAGGCCGGCGGTTGCGTCTGACGCTACCCCCCCCCCCCCCCTACCACACGCCCCGGCCACGGGGCGCCCTGGCGATCGGCCTCTAACAACACTCACCCACTCGCGCGCTCGTTGCGGCCGCTGTGTTTGTCCCGCCGTACACAGGAGCACGGACCCGTACAGCGTCGTGTTGAGGCGGAAAAAGCTCCCGATGGGGCTGCTGCAAGAGCCGGACAAGGTATTTTACGGATGTTCGGCATCTCGTCTTGCGTGTTTAGTGTGGTGCCCTCGGTGTATATTGCATTTTGGCCAAGGGTGTCTCACTCTTCTACGGCGCGCGTGGCCCAGTATTGCCGCCCTTGGTAAACAGCGCGACCCCAGCTTCCACCCAGCGTAGCAATCACCACGAAGACTTTGTCCGTGACTTTGTGTGGGATGTCCATGTCCCGATCATGAGGTTCGTCGTGGAGGACGCCAAACTCAAAAGGAAAATGGCAAGGATCACGAACTTTTCCTCTTTTTTTTCGTTCTTGCCGACGTTCTCGAGGTGTACCGGTGTATTTGCACGGCAACGTCTTTGTGCCTGTAGAAATACCTCACCTACTTGTAGGAAGGAAGGAGTCGCGGTGAGCCGGAGTTGACCTCGGACTCGTTGACCAGTGACGCGTCGTTCGTGAATGTACTTGTTGGACGGACAACAAAATAATTGACTAATTTTGTAACTGGGCGGCGTCTCTTGCTCCGCGTGCTCTTCCAACCTTCCTTCCCTCATTCCCCCGTGGCCAACCTTGCTTCCCTCATTCCCCCGTGGCCAACCTTCCTTCCCTTATTCCCCCGTGGCCAACCTTCCTTCCCTCATTCCCCCGTGGCCAACCTTCCTTCCCTCATTCCCCCCGTGGCCAACCTTCCTTCCCTCATTCCCCCCGTGGCCAACCTTCCTTCCCTCATTCCCCCGTGGGTGGAACAGGTGAGCAGGATGAACCTGCTGGAGACGGAGAGCTACTCGGACGTGCTCGCCAACGGGAGGAGGCGGAAGCGGCCCAAACTCGGCGGCGGGGTCAACGACCTGTCCACCTTGCTCGCTTCGGCCGAGGTGAACACAAAAAGAAAAGTCGAAGAAACGCTAATCACGCGCATGCACTCACAAGGCGTCGATACGAAACGGCTGCTGCTCGCTGACGCTGCACTTTCGATCACAGCGCAGACCGAGTGGTGCCATAGAAAAGCCGCACCTCTCTTCACACGAGTACCTTGTGGCCTCAGACTAGCTCCCCTCAGCATGTTGGCGCCAAGAATCTCCCGAAAGGAAAGGTTAGGGAGATCTACCGGTCATGCAGCGTGGCGTGGTAGGTCGAGCCACATGTCTGCTCGCCCAGTACTGGTGCTGGCGGACTGCTGCGTGGCACGTTCTGACGTTCCCTTCATTGGTTCTTTTTTTTTTCTCTGGTCAATCGTCACCGTTCATCACTGTGCGCGCGGCGGCGGCGGCGGCGGCGGCGGCGGCGCGGCAGGTTGGGCGCAAAACGTACGGGGAAGGGGAGGGGGACACCAACGCGCCCAAGGCGTGGGAGGAGAGGGGTCTGAAGAGGGCGGAGCTCTTCGAAAAGGGACAGAGCAGGCGCATCTGGGCGGAACTGTACAAGGTAGGAACTCCGGAGGGAGGCGCCGCGTAAACATCGGGCTCGTGCGGGAGGGGGGGGGGGGGGGGGGGCGGGCACT